CCGGTCCCGTGAAGAAGCTTTGGGCTAAGAACGAGATTGATGGCAAGTGGGCCAAGAGCTCCTTCGCTCAGCGCACCGACCGCTCCGAGCGCCGCAAGAACCTCTCCGACTTCGAGCGCTTCAAGGTTCTGCGCCTCCGCAAGCAGGTACGTTGGAAATATCGAAAGGGGGATCGTTCTGGCATAATGCGCCTGGGCCCACCCGATCGGATAATCATAATCTGGAGAATCACAAACAGTTCAACTAACACATTCAACTCCAGGCTCGCTACGAGGTCCAGAAGTCCCACGCCAAGGCTCGCGCTGCCAACAAGTCATAGATGATTACGAGGTTTCGGTGCATGGGTTTGAAGGAGGTGTCCTGGAAGGGTTTCCATTGCTGGTAATACTCTGGCAAAATCGCTGTATGCATTATCAATGAACAGCAAAAATGATTCAAAATCCTTGATATCCCGGCAAAGGGGCCTTTTGTCATTTGGTTTTCCTCCGGCTCTGGACTCATTTTTATATCCCCCAATTTACGGGAATATTGAATATCTGGCTCGACAAAAAGAATAGAACGAGCAGATACGTAAATAATGACCCTGGAAACGGTATTAACTGTATTATTTATATTTATATTTGATCTAGATGAGATCTATAAATTATTAGCCCAATCTAGTTTAGAATTGGTGATGTAGTTCCATATAGGGCAATGTGTGCAGGGCGGGCAGTCTGGGGGTGGCTCTCGCTAATGATTTTCGGGTTCGGTCTGGCGCACAGCTACGCACCTTCAACTTCAACAAAATCCATCCCCACTCACAACAGCTTGATATTTACCTCTCAGGTATGTATGAGTATTTACTCGACTGAATTCTCGCCTTTTCAACATCAAATTCCGCCCTTTCCCGAGTGTTGTGCGATTCGTGGGGGGTTGACCAATCTCTCTCCAATCTCTCCCACTATGCCCGCTCTCACACCATTCAACCAGCCCTGACACCTATTGCCGAACGAAACAACCCAACTAATCAACTCTTTTCCTCGGATTCTTCTTAGGCACCTTTACATCGCAAAAATGGCTGATCCCCGCGTTGAAGAAATCCACGATGACGAGGTCTCCAAGACCGTCGAGGAGAGCTCCTCTGAGTCTGGCTCCGAGGCTGGCGATGAGCCCAACATTCCCGCCGGTGCCTCCGTCGCTGTCCACTCCCGTGGTGAGAAGAAGGCCCGCAAGGCCATTGGCAAGCTCGGCCTGAAGCTCGTCCCTGGCATCACCCGTGTCACTCTCCGCCGCCCCAAGAACGTATGTGATCCCGATGCGACCGTCACGAGAATTTCTACCCCGCCAAGTACAATGTGGTTGTGACCATCAACCGCAACACTGGCTACCCATGGAACGAAATATTTTGATTATTCTCAATGTGGAGATGCTAATTATTGGAATTAAAGATCCTCTTCGTTGTCAACCAGCCCGAGGTTTACCGTTCCCCCAACAGCAACTGCTGGATGTATGTGAAACCCAATTGGAGTCACTCATATGCGAACGACATTTACTGACACACTTTTAGCATCTTCGGTGAGGCCAAGATTGAGGACCTGAACTCCCAGGCCCAGGCTTCCGCCGCCCAGCAGCTCGCTGCCTCCGAGGCCACCGGCGACCACGCCGGTCACGACCACGAGGAGGTTCTCGGCAAGGCCAAGGCCCCCGAGACCGAGGATAAGAAGGAGGATGAGGAGGATGATGGTGAGGAGGTTGATGAGTCCAACCTTGAGTCCAAGGATATCGAGCTGGTCATGGCACAAGCAAGCGTCTCCCGCAAGAAGGCCGTCAAGGCTCTCCGGGAGAACGACAACGATATCGTTAACTCCATCATGGCCCTCAGCATATAATGAGTGACAGTATTTAAGGTTCTATGAGGGACTTGGGTTATAATGCCAGATGGAGATATCTGGCATGTTGTCGCCCATAGTGTACACAATTTAGCCCAAAAAACAATTGAACCCATGATTGAGTCAATTAATCAACCTATATACTTTGTAATGGTAAAAAAAATTAAAATCTGACCATAAGTTATCTACAATAGTTAACACGATCGCTCTATAATTTGTTATACGGTGGATTTCGGAATGAACATCACGTGACTTGAACAATCCAAACCTTCCGGGTCACTCCTCGTTCGGCTCCTCCCTGCACATTGAACTCCCCTCTCTTCTCCCCACCCCCAACCTCTATCATACCCGTCACAATGGCTGCTGTATGTTCCGCTCCTGCTCCTCAACTGACAAACCCTTGTCATCCCGTCCGGATGGCTCCCGCTAACTCCCTTCCCCCGAAAACAGCGCAGCGCCGCTCTCAAGATCGACTGGGCCAAGGTGTCGACCTCCCTCGGCCTCCGCGGCCAAACCGCCACTTCCCTCCAAGCTTTCAAGAAGCGCAACGACGATGCTCGCCGCAAGGTCCAGGTCCTGTCCGAGCAGCCCCAGACCGTTGACTTCAGCCACTACCGCGGCATCCTGAAGAACACGGCCATCGTCGACGAGCTCGAGAACCACTTCAAGACCTTCAAGCCCGCTACCTACGATGTCAACCGCCAGCTGAAGGCCATCGACGCTTTCGAGTCCCAGGCTGTCCAGAACGCCGAGGCTACCAAGGGTAAGGTTGAGGCCGAGCTGCAAAACCTGCAGAAGACCCTGGAGAACATCGAGACCGCCCGTCCCTTCGAGGACCTCACTGTGGTACGTATTATCTTCTGCAGACCGCGGAGTTGGAATCATTACTTACATGGCTGCTTTTTTAGGACGAGGTTGCCGCCGCCCAGCCCGAGATCGACGAGAAGACCGCTTCCCTCGTCTCCAAGGGCAAGTGGATGCCCCCTGGCTACCAGGTATGTGTTGATTGTCTTGCTAAGAGCAATGCCTCCGTTTTGATACTTATTCGATTCCCTTTTGTAGGATCGCTTCGGCAATCTGTCCGCCGTCTAAGCGTGAACTCTTGTGGCCTCAAATCCGCCTTTTTATTCCTCGCTCCATCACATTACGTGATCATGACTTTTGGAGCCAAGAAGATGGCTATTCAGCCAGTGTGTGGTCAGATACCTCCGATAGTGTGGTGGGGCAGTTGGGATGTGTATAGAAACAATACATTTGTCGTTTCTGCGTTCATTAATAGATCTACTGTAATCTCGTACTTTTTCAACATGAAATTAAACCAAATGATCGAAAAATTGGCTGTAGTTAGAAAAAAATAAGGTCAATAAACATCTAGTATGCCCGATATATATCCAAACAAGCTCTCTTGGAACTTGGGAATCGAGTTAGGATATATCGGAGTATCATGCGAAAACCGTTTCTTTTTAAAACTTCGACAAGAAGTACTAAGCGGCAGTATATTCCAATCCATTTAGATGCAACAGACGATCACGCCACATACATAATCTCTCGTGACGATGAGCTCCCAAGCTGGCCTTGCCAAGACATGCAACTCACCTCAGTTTACCCACTTCCCCTACCCCTCTCCCAGCAATGGGCCGGGCTTTTTCATTTCAATTCTTATCACTGGAGACTGCGCTGGAAGCGCTGTCAAGTACCTTTCCTACAAGTCACGAGGAGCTACAGGGACAACATTATGCGAAGTCTGCAGTCAATATCGTATGGACTGTGTTTCCATTGAGATAAACCATATCCGCCTCTGCTCTTCCTTGTCCCTGACCCGTTACAACTATAAACACCCCGTGTGGTTTATAAGTGAACACCCTTGCTGCGAGCAAGCTATACAAGCTATATAAGAACACATCATTTCTAGACGCGCTGTTGCAAATGGGCCCAGCCCCCTCCGATCCGTTGGCCGACCACCCGTGCTCGCGCCTTGAGTCACTGCCCGTGGAAATCCTGCAGTTGATCTTTCTTCACAGTCTTGAAGTGAACCTCCCTCGTGCCTCACCACGTCTCAGTCAAGCACTGTCCACTCCCTTACTCTATACCTGGCTCATTCGCCTTGCATTCAGCAGTCCAAATTCAGGCTCGCGAGAGGGCTTCTTTACCCCGGATTTCCTACCCCCACCTTTGGATTTCTGGGCCTTGTCCTGGAAAGAGCGCCAACAATTACAGACCGACCTGCTGGCATGTCGGTGGTGCACGTTTCCCCTGTTCCGGAAATGCCAGCGTGAGTACGTTGCCCATGCTATCCGACGAAAATGTGCCGGCCTGGTCTTCAATCCAGACAACCAAGCAGTGCTGTCAAATTTGGACCCACGCTTCGAAAACCTAGAAGCCTGCGACTGGGCCGTACTCGGCCGGCGTGGGAAAGGGGATCTGGTTATTCCAGCACAGCTGGACGAAACATCGCGGACCCCGTCGTCTCGCACTGTCGACCGCAAAGTGGCGATTTGGTTCCATTTTGGCGCTGTCCAGATCCGTAAACCCCACGAGATATACCACGAGAACGACCTCTTCCGGTTGCCGTGCTCAGTGGCTATTGGACCTGGCCGCATTCCGGACAAGGTCTTGCGTTCGCCCTGGTCAGATGCGCAGTTCGAGTTCTTACAGCTGCTCTCTTCGGACTTCTACCTGGACGAGGATGAGGCCAGACCGGACCGATCCTCTGAGATTACATATCGTCTCATTCGAACGCGCAAGATCGAGCCCTTTAGTCGCTTGCTGCGTATATCCTTCCGCGCTGCAAATTGTCGTGTCCCTGCTCGCTGGCCGCTGCAGCATTCACATTATTCCCTCGTCCGGCGCTGTGGGAGTGGACCTGGGGATCCGTTTGCAAATGTTATATTGAATGAGCGTTGGGATGATATGCCCGCAAAAGCAAAACAGGATTTGTTGCGATATGTTGAGTCGTCCTCGCTGAAAGATGGGCATTGATATAATTGCTTTTTAAATAGGATCATCACTCACCAGTGTTATTCAGTCATATATCTACAATCCTATGTTCATACTTCGAACACCTACCCTGTGTATATACATTCTTCCACAATTTACATCCATCTTCTACAGAAGAGAAACAATATACGTCGATGTAAAGTGTTTCATATCCCAAAATTTGATTCATGATTCACAATTAAAAGTGCGCCACGGGGTATATACATCAAGAAGATATCATGACAAAAGAAAATTCGCGCCGGCATAACAATCGTAGAACCCATAGCCAGCCCTTTTATCTCCATGGACTCAGGTGTGCAACATGGTGGTTTGTTTCCTATCAGACTGCTGATCGACGACCCCGCCGGCGTTTTCCACAGTAGCCACAGGTCAGGCAGGAGATGAGAACATCGATCACTGTGACCACACCGCTGATGATAGCGTGGCAGATGGAGCCGATGGCGTTGACAATAGCCATGAGGCAGCTACCAATGGCGCGGAAGACGCCTTGGATCTAGAGGCAGGTGTGTTAGTTGAGTTTTCTTAGAGAGCAGATGGGGTTCACATACGCAAGAGACGACGGCACCCATATTGAAGATGAAGAGCTTTTCTTGGAGTTGTTTTGTATCAAGGTGTTGGTTTAGTTCGGTTTGGAGGTGAGAGTAGATCCTGAGCTGGAAGAAGCGTGTGTATGGACAGTTGGATCACTGAAAGGGTGCATGTTGAAGATAATGAAGTAGATGGAGGGGTGGTTTAAATAAAGAATGAGAATGATGATCGTCGAAGACAGGGACGGATATTTCCTGCTCAGATACGTAAGTGGTGTCCAAGAGAGGCGATTGATAGACAAGTTCGTGTAGTTAAGCTTGTCTTGAAGGCGTCAGGAATGACAACGTGCAGACGCCAATGACGTCGTTAGAGAAGCTATGATAGAATTCCAAGGTTTGATGAAGAATGAAAGAGGAATATTAAATTTTGTAATGGAGCCTGTGGCTAAATGGATACACAAGGTATTAGGGGTGTTGTCCCAACTGATCATTCCGTCATCTCGACACAGACCGCGGGCCATTCCTTGATTTCGGCTTTATTCAAAAGCACAGAATCTGTTTACAACGTAGGCTTGGTGGGGCAATTGGTGGATTCTAAATGGGTTGTCTAGCGTTTAAGAACAGGTCCAGTTTTAATTTCCAATTTAACCATGTTGAACCCTTTCGAAAGATATCTTGTTCAGCAATAGCTCCTTATTTTTTTACAGATAGTCCTTGACGTCATTAGATAACAGGCTAATCCCAAATTAGCAACAGAGCGGGGATAGATCACGTGTTAACATGTGACTTTCCAGCCCTCCAATGCCAAGCCCTAACGCCAGGCCATTGCCTGTCGGGCTCTTTTCCGCCAATCAGACGAGGGTTAGGCTCGGACTTGGCGTTGTATACTTTCCAAGGGTGCTATGCAAAGTACAACATACTACACTGAATAGTTATCATACACGACTCAGAAATGATTCAAGCTCACAGATTGATGTGCTCTAGATAGTGAGAACGTTCAGTTGCTCCATGAGCCCACCAAAAGGCGAAGATGAAACCGTGACGCGGACGCTGCTTGCTCCGCCTAAACCCGCAAGCAGCTCACATTCTGCGGCTATCCCCAAATCGAAGCGCCGACCAGGTCGCACCTTCAAGAAACCGATTCGGAGCAGCTCATCTCAGTCCTCTCGGTCCTCTCGGTCAAGGTCTGGTCCCTACGATCGTCCCTCTAATTCGCCCAGACCCAGAATCTCGCGTCCGCATACTCCCCGCAGGATATCCCTCCTCGAGGCCCTCCCCGTCGAGATCATCGAGCAGATCTTCCTGCACTCTCTCAATCTAAACTTCCCCCGAGCCTCGCCGTTCCTATCCCGCGCCCTCTCCGGTGAACACATCTACCGCGCTCTCATCCTCCTTGCGTTCTGGAATGATGCGCTCGCCAACCCCCCGTAGCAAGGCTATCGACCGCATGATGGTCCCGCTCGACTATGTTCCTCTCAAACTGGACGAGCGTGCCCGCTTACAGGAAGCCGTCTTCAAATGCAAGTGGTGTACCGTGGACCGCGTGCGCGAACAGATTCCGACAATGCAGATCCTGACTATCTACCGTCGTTGGATCGACGCCGGTATCGTGACAGAGAAAGACGAGCAGGCTGCTTTTGAAAAGCTCATAGCACGCAAGGACGATGGCGTCCGCATCTTCCATGGCAAGGGCGGGCCAATGAAGGAACTCGCTAGCATGCCCCCAGAGTTCTTTCAGATGGCTCCGAACGCGTTGAAAGGAACCCACGAATACAAGCTCCATGTCATGCCAATGGTCACCACCGAGCTCCAATGTGTGGATATAGGGTTGACTGTCAATATCCCTGCACTTGACCTGTGCAAATTCCCATCCCATCTCCTCCGAGGCCGCAGCAACGGTTTCCTTCCAGAAGACGTTGCTTTCCTGGAGATGCTGCGCATGACCTCATGCAATTGGACCCCTGGACAGAGCTCCTTAGCACCCTCGACCCTGACCAAAGTCGACCGCAATGCCCTGAACGAAGGAATCCAGAACGCAATCCGTCACCAGAATTTCAATGCCATGCTCTCCCTCCTCAAAATCGACGAGTTCCTTTTCCGCTACAAAGCAGAGAACCAAGGCCGTGGCGTCTACTATACGATCCCATCTGAACACTTTATCGCTGTTACCCGCACTGGCCGCGACAAGCCACATCTCAACTTGGCTTTCTTTGAGGCTCTCCTTCGTGCCAGTGCGGAGTCTTTGCCTAGCTGGTCATCCGAGATCACGAACTGGACCGTCGATAATATGGAACTTGCGAAGAAGAACCCGAATACTTATAATCAGATCAATGGCAAGTTTGCGCGCTGGTTGTCGAATTTTCTGCTGCGTCTCCCTGCGCAGGTTGAGTATGCCCATGATTTCCCGACTGGTCAACTGTTCTGTAATGGCCAGTTGGATATCATGGATCTCGAGGGCTGCCGCTTTGTCGATGAGGTTCTTGCTCCCTTCCGCGAACCATTGGGGAATTGGATGACGGAGAGTTCGTTCCGGACTGAGGATCACTGGCTGAAGAAGTTCGGTCCTCCTCTTCCTCCATGAGATTGTTCCGAGTAATCTTTATGAGGACTTTGTTATTAGCGCTATACCTGGATTTTAGATTTGTTGTGATGTAATATAGGAGTCCCACATATAGCTCTGAAATACTAATAATTTCCTTTGAATTAAATGTTCCCACAGCCAGAGGTATTACCCATAGCAAGATGGACTATGTATAGTACAAATTATCGATATGAAACAGGAATGTGAAACGATTTCCCGAAGAGCAAACCTATCACATATTCTTCAACAACCGCAGAATACCAGCAATACGCCCACCCAGCGTCAACTGATATCCCATCTCAACAATACCCTTACACATCTCCCAAGCCGCAACCCCACCCTTAGCGTCCGCTGTGTTCTCTCGGTCCTGGATAGGATAATCCACGCGCGGCGGGATACCAGTGCCAATCAAAGTAGGGAATCGGTCAGCGCAAACAGCCTTGATATTGCACAGACCGCGCAGTCCCTCATCGCCCGCGAACCGGCCATATCCGGATCCGCGCACGCCGCCGAACGGCAGCTGCACAGCGTAAAAGGCACCGAAGTCGTTGATCGAAACCATTCCGGCGGAGATTTTCGACACGCAGGCTTGCACGTCCGCTTGTCGGTGTCCGAAGACGCTGGCGCCTAGTGCATACGGCGTTGAGTTTGAGATGGCGATTGCGTCGGATACGGACTCGGCGCGCATCATGAGGAAGACTGGGGCGAAGAGCTCTGTTTGTGCGATCCGCATGTCGCGTGTCACGTCTACTAGCAGGGTTGGTGTGAAGTAGTGGCCGTGTTGGTGGACTGGGTGTTTGTGTTCGGTGCCGCCGGCGAGGAGGCGTGCGCCTTGTTGCACGGCTTCGTTGATGAGTGTCTCGAGGTTGGCGAATGATACAGGTGAGATCATCGCACCAACGTCTGGGGTTGCGGTGTCGAGCAGGACAGAGCCGAGGTGGAGATTTTGAATACGTGGGGTTACAATTTCGATGAGTCGTTCGTATGCATTGGGGAGTGCGATGATACGCTCGATGCCGATGCAGTTCTGGCCGGATGATTGGAAGACACCGCGCATGAGGATGGACGCGATGGACGGGATATTGCGGAGAGTGCGGGAGTCATCCAGGATCACGGAGGGGTCTTTGCCGCCCAGCTCAACACATACGGGGATGAGTGACTTGGCTGCTGATGCGCAGACGTGGTGGGCGACAGGTCGGGATCCAATGAAGGTTATATGCGCGATATCAGGGTGTGAGGTGAATGCATCGGCAACATTGGGTAGACAGACTAGCGTCTGGACCAGGTCGCGCGAGTGGCCACAACTAGAGAGCGCACCGCGCACCATCTCGAGGAAGTAGACTGCGGACCATGCGGTCTGCTCAGACGGTTTTACAACAACTGCGTTACCAGTAAACAGCGCGCTGATGATCGGACCGATGAAGTTGTGTAACGGGTAGTTCCAGGACACACAGGCACCCACCACACCCAGTGGTTCGTATGTGACCGTGTTCTTTTTATACATCATCAGGAAGTTGGTCGGCCGCCGCTCGGGTAGTAGTGCCCTCTCGCCATGGTCGATCGTCCACTTGAGCTTCTCCACTGTCACAAGGATCTCGCCGAATGAGCCGTCAACTTTTGTTTTACCCGAATCGAGACAGCATGCGGTAACGAGGTCTTCTTGGTGGTCTAGGACATATCTGAGAGCTGTTAGTTGGACAAGCGTTACGGGGCGCCGTAGGCAAAGTGCAATGGTTCCATCGGGTAGAGCGAATTTGCCAATCCACATACTTCAACAGTGTCCGGAGAACCTTTCTGCGCTCTGCAAAGGTAGTCCTTGCCCACTCCGGCTGAGCAGCTTTCGCAGCCCGAACGACCTCGTTGACATCTTCGACCGTGGCGGGCTTGATTCCGTTACCGAGCACCCTCCCATCGGCAGGACAGTAGCTCACAATCAATTGATCGTTCCATTTCTGTGTAGCAGACCAGCAGTTAGCCCAAGCACACGAAAAATGAGTTACAAGGAAAGGATCCCAAGCCAAAGACCAGGCTTGTCAACTCACTCCCCGAGCTTGATCCTGCAACACCAATTTCTGCAGCCCCTGAACCTCATCCCATGTCTTGATTGAACCGTTGTTGCGCACTTCAGATGGGATAGGAACATTGAAAACGACCGCTGCCTCTCTCCAGCTTTGGAGGTAGAGGTACCCCACGTACACGGCGACAAGGGAGGTCAACGCGACTCCGATGTACGGGGCGTACTCTGCCGACCCGGGAGGCGCGTAGGCCTCCAGAAGAGTGCGCAGCGAGCGCGGAATGTGGGATGCCAGACAATCCATGGCGGGAATTGGTGCAATTGGACAACTGGAAAGTGTTGGGAGAGCAAAGGGAGTCCCTGGAGACTTTTCGTGTTTGCGATAAGGCGATAAGGGGTACTACTCGTGCCATACAACCTTCCTTCCCATGAACGACCACCTGGGTAGCAATCATCTAGGAATATTAGACTTAATCTATGGAATTGATATTTGTGTTTAGCAATAATGATACACTTGTATTGAGAGCAACAGCAACAGCAACATGGTAGATAGATAATAATATAGAGGACAAATATTGGCTTAAGCCATTCATCGTCATAGATCGATGCGATCAATCCTCATTTCGTAAAGATTCCACCTTTATTCCACATAATTTCGCTGTCATCAATGTGTTCACTCGTCACTCGTTTCGTCGGAAAGCGAACTCTCGCTTTCCTCAGTCTCCTCCTCAGAGTCCTTGTTCGTCTTCTTGTGCTTACCAGCCGCGCCCCTCTTAGCAGCTGCTTTCTTCTTAGAAACCACAGCCAGACCGTTGCCCTTGCGCTTCCCGTCGCGAGTTAACAGGTGATCAATGACACAGCCGTCCTCCCAGCCAGCACTGGACTCGCCGGTAGCAGCTCGGCACCGGGGGCAGGTCTTCCCATGCCGGATGAACAGCTGGTGCAGCGAGTACTTCAAGTGGTCGGGGATGCGCACTTCCAGGTGGCTGAAGGCAGTTACTTCGTTTGAACAGGCGGGAATCCATCCGAGCCAGCGGCAGAGACGGAAGATATGCGTGTCTACGGCGAAACAGGGTCGCTGAAGACAGAACAGGATCACGCAGGCGGCTGTCTTGGGTCCGATTCCGGGGTACTTGATCAGATCGGTCATGGCTTCTTCAGTCGTGAGATTGTGGAGGTGGTTGAGGGAGAGGAAGTTCTGATCTGCGCAGGCAATCTCGTATTTCTTGTCCTTTTCAGCCTTTTCAGGTACTAGCTTGGACATTGAGTCTTTCTTGGATTCAGAATCTAACAATGTAGCTCGGCGCGCCTGGTTGTCCTCGTGGACTATGTCAAGAATCGCCTTGAGGTTCTTGCTTTTGATGTCCGCCAAGCCGCCACTTTTGATCGCTTCAAACACATCTTTCACAGTGGCTTGTCGTACAGCATCCCAATTCACGCTTCCCTTGCCGATGCCTTCTGAAAGAATGCCGAATCGTTGCACAAGTCCGCCAAAGGCCCTGGCGGCATTGTTGCCCGTGGTGGCCCCGCTGAGAAGAGTGCGGATTAAAGCATCCAGAACGGATGGGACCTCACCACACCCGGTGACTGTCAGGGAGGGCTCAGGGATCGTTGCCGGAGCAGTGACTACGCCATGAATGCTGGACAACAGCTGATTGACATCTTCACACTCCTCGGCGGTTGGTCGAACCAATTCGGGGAAAGGAGAGATACCGGGCGTCAAGCCATAAGTATTCTTCTTTGGCTTGCGGCCAGTTGGGGTAGTTTGCATTTTGGGTTCTTTCTTCAACTTGGTTGTAGCTTTGTTCACAGTGTCTTGGAGCTCAGTAGCCAGATTGGCAACCTGGTTGCCCTTTAAAGCTTGGTTTTCTTTGTCAGATCCAGCAACTGAGGCTGTGGGCTCTGTTGCTACAGACAATGGGGCCGGCACAGATCCCAGGTTGTGAGGGAGTTCATCGAACAAGCCTGGGCGTAACACTGGCTTCTCTTCCTTAACTGTGGGATTGGGATCATTGGAAGATTTCGACTCAGTGATTGTGTTACTTTTGGGTGTATTCAGATTATTGGGAGTATTGGAATTGGCCGTGGGGTTGAGACGCTTTCGTTTGTTCACTTTAGCAGTATTTGGTGCTTGTGTGACAGAAGGGCTGTTTTCTTCTCCCACAATCAATGAAGTGGCAGCTCGTGCTGCAGAGCGAGTAATGCGGCGTTCCATGATATAGAAGGTCAGACCAGAGGGCCTGCAGCAAGCGTCAATTTCGTTCAATGTTGCACGGCTAGCAACGTGGACGAGCACCGATAACAGATAACCGATATATCAAGATGTCTCAATTCATTTTAACGATCAATGAGGGACTCGAGACGAAAGGTTACGTTTGATTCAATGTCGGTGATCGCATGGTGGGTCTGTCGGTGATGCGGAGGGAATGAGATGATGCTACTGGGCAATGACGTGGGCACGTGACCTACCCCTTTGGGACAATGACCAAAATGAAAACCAGCATGACTTCAACAACATTGGAATATTGCATTTATTTTAGATTCATCAAGAGTTATTGACAAGTGTATCTCAAGACACCGGGTATTGGTATTTTCAATGCATTTCCACATCATTTCCACATCATGTAGCGGCAAATCAGCCACTCAGCACATATGCTCCCTCAAACAAACGCCCAGACACCCAATGCAAAATTACCAAATGGTGGAGAAAAAAAATAAAAAAGATCAAAAATCAGATGTCTCGTAATCATGCCTCATGGTCAGCCTGGTTGTGGATGCTAATGTCCATGCGGTCCGAGACTTTCGGGTTGTGTTGGTCGTCAGGGTTGCTGTCCTGCTTGGCGGCACTAATCGCCGACTCGTTCTCAATGGCAGGGATGATCTTGCCATTGGTGTCCATAGTGACTCCGTGGGCGGCGATCTGGAAGTCGGTCATGTTGGCAAAGCCATTGGAAACAGCCTCCTTGGCCTTGTCAAGAGCCTTGACCTTGCGGCCTTCGCCACGGACAGACTCCAGATGTTCGAAATAACCGGATGAAACGGGGGTAACGTAGCTACCGCAGAAGACACCGACCTCGAAGTTTGTAGGCTCTTCCTGACCATTCTCGCGGGCAACCTCGGCACAGGCGTCCTTGAGATCAGGCAGAGTTTGGAAGACAACCGCCTCCGCGCCAATGTGCTTGGCAATGGCCTCCGAGTTCCGATTGTGCGCAACCAACTCTTGAGGAGAGGCAAGATCGATACCGTAGATGTGAGCATGTGTGATCTCCGGTGCGCAGCTGGCAAGGTAGACCTTCTTGGCGCCGGCTTCCCGGGCCATGTTGACAATTTCGCGACTAGTAGTACCACGCACAATACTGTCATCAACCAGCAGGACGTTGCGGCCCTTGAACTCAGCCTTCATGGCATTGAGCTTGCGGCGGACACCCCTTTGCCGTGTCTTTTGCTCCGGCATGATAAAAGTGCGGAAGACGTAACGGTTCTTGACAAAACCGTGGCAGTAAGGCTTGTTAAGGTAGAGTGCGACATTGGTCGCGGACGTAGTCGCGGTTTCAGGAATGGGAATGACCACGTCAATGTCCTTGACGATCTCGGGACCCAGAACATCGAGGATTCGCGCACCGAGGCGGTCACCCATGCGTTGCCGGCTACGGTACACACTGATGCCATCCATGACGGAGTCAGGGCGAGCGAAGTAGACATACTCGAAGATATCCGGGGCATAGGCCTTCTTGGGAGCCACCTGGCGGAAGACCGGCTCACCACCCTTGGCGATGATGACCGCCTCGCCAGGCTGAATGTCACGGTGGTTGGAGAAACCCAGCTGGTCCAGAGCTACTGATTCAGAAGACATCATGTAGTCCATGCCAGGTCCATCCACAGACTGACGAGAGCCCAAAATGAGGGGGCGGATACCGTATGAGTCACGGAAACCCAAGATACCAAATCCTAGATTGCAAGTTAGTACCATGGGACTAGAGTAGGAGTACACCACGCATGATTTATAACTTACCAGCAAGCATAGCAGTGCAGGCCCATCCACCCTCGCAGCGCTTGTACATGCGACTCAAGCTGGCAAAAAGGTCCTCGTGGTTGACACGGGCCTTCTTGGTCTCGCTTAGCTCGTCAGCGAAGACGTTGAGCATCAGCTCGCTGTCACTGTCGGTGTTGATATGACGGTGGGCTTCAAGGTCAAGGTGCTTCTTGAGGTCCCCGGCATTGATCAGGTTACCGTTGTGCGCAAAGCAGATACCGTAAGGGCTGTTCACGTAGAACGGCTGGGCCTCGGCGTTGGCACTGGATCCAGCAGTCGGATACCGCAGATGGCCAATACCCATGGAGCCGGGAAGATTGGTCACCTTAGCACCTTCCTGGAAGACCTTGGCAGCCATGCCGTTGGCCTTAAGTTGGTAGATTCGACCGCCGGACGCGCATGTTGCAATACCGGCTGCATCCTGGCCACGATCTGTGATACCAAAACCTTTAGTCTCACGGTCGCAGGCGTATATATTCTGGCCGGAACTCACGTTGGAGAAGGTAAAGTGCCTCGTGGAGATCCACGGCGGCCGCAGATGAGGGGTTCGCCTGGATCAGCGCAATGATACCACACATCCTGACGGAGGGTAGGTTTTCTGGGATGGACGAAGAAAATTAGCACCAATGTTCACCCATTGCATTCACAGTGTATAGCAAGATTGCAGTGTCTCATATCAGTCCAGGTGTTTATCCGCAACAATTGTTTAGGAAGTCTAACATCTATAAAAAACCATAATTCATCATAAGAGACAGGGGAGGTGAAGCTTTGAATAAAGCTGAAAGCTGAAAACAATAAAACCATGCGACTTACCAGAACCAGATCACGTAAAAGAAGGAGTGAAGTTCAGAGAATGGTCATCACTAGAAATGAACACCACCCCAAGAAAACAGAAAGAGGGAGGGAAATATTCCATGGCAGATGTGTTTCTTCGGTCGTTGCCCCACAGAATTAAATTTTCTCTTCTCTCGCCCGGGCCGACCTCGGGGCGATGTCATGAGTAAGCAATGCCCCACATTCCCCCGGGGCGCATGCCCTACTATCCCGAACAGGCTAAGCGCCTATAGAGTTGATGTTGATACCTAGGTACATAACCATATAGATGGATGTACAAACCAGAAGGGTCATGTCGACCTTTAATGAGATAACATGAATACCATGGCTTTATGCCAGTCTTTCATGCTGCACAAAACCAGATATAATCTCTGCTTTGTTGACCAAATAGAAATATACAGACGAATCCGTGTTGCTTCAGTTGAAACTTGTTATGTATAGAAGGTCTGGCAAAGCATTCTGCCACTTCTCTTCAAACCAAATTTATCTGAGCCAAAGTGTTCATTCGCGCGGGGCTACTTTCGAACACCCGACTATAGAAATAGAAGTGCTTCGAAAGCCCAGTCATCTGAACGTGAGACTCTATCAGATCTCAAGATCATCCATCAGTTTGATATTGAAATTTGTTTTCTTCACCCTCATTTCGAACCTGGACTTTGCATCCTCGCACATAACGAGTATGGAACATTTTCATCAGTCAACCATCACACCAATGGCTGATATCAATGATCGATCCCGTATTTCGGTGTCTCCCTTTGGAGACCCAATCCCTGTGAGCACTGCAGAATTTCGAGCAGTAACTCATGAGCCGTCAATGCCTGACGACGACATCATAATGTCAGATCCGTCGGCGATCTTTATCGCTTCACCCATGCAGGAGGCGGGCCACGCCTCCTCCCACTCAACCGTCATCGACCTTACTTGTGATGACGAAACTAACCAAGCGATTGAAGAATTGACCTTTGACATGGCACACGTTGGGGCTCCCTCCGCAATCACCACAGGTGACGACTCAGCAAGTGACCGGTCTTCTTCCAGCAACTTGTCTTTCGTCAGCAACCAGTCCGTCAGCTGCAGCCCAACGCCAGTGACAGCTCAGCAAGAGATAAACATTGGGGGCATTGTGTTCAAACCCGGAATATCTCTAGAGCTTGAGGATGGCTCTTTCATGCGTGTCGAAGACGTGATTCCTCAACCTCACGACCTGCGTTTTTTCGGCCGCCGTCTTTACCGCACCACGCACCCCGAAGCCAAGACTTACCTGCCAAAACTTAACGACGAATTGGTCTGGCTCACTCAGAACACCGACCACATCAGCATCAGAAAGGTTAGGCGGATTGTCCCCATTCGCTTCACCAACCATCGGACGGACTTCAATAACTTGACACCGGGAGAAGACCTGACTTGCCGACTGAAGCTCACCATTCGCCAGAACGGAGTCGTTATTATCCCTGGGCATGCACCTTTGAGTGCAGAGCAGTGTGCAATTGAATGGTTGACGTTCGCCGAATCAGACCCAGGACTTGGCAAGCCCGCGAGCCAGCTGCGTGCCGAATGGAGAGGTCAAACTGTGCCTTTCGGCGAGGCTAGCGCGTCTTCTATGGCTAGGGATCGACAGGGTGTGATTGATTTGACTGTCCCTGACCGTGCATACACCTTTGGAGACGCGTACTGTGGTGCTGGTGGTGTGTCTTGCGGGGCTAAGCAGGCCGGCGTGAAGCTTCAATGGGCCGTTGATATCGACAAGCATGCGCTGGAAACCTATCAGCTGAATTTTGACGACGTAGAGGTTGAGCATTCCGATTTTTTCAGTTTTCTTACCAATGATCCGAAATTCCTGCGAGTGGATATTGCACACTGCTCACCCCCCTGCCAAACCTGGTCTCCTGCTCATACTGTGCCCTGTCCTCGTGATGACGCCAACTCCGCATGCATATTTTCGGCTGGAAGTCTGATTCGGGAGTCACGTCCCAGGGTGTTGACTATGGAGGAAACCATGGGGTTACCCCAAAGATTTCCTGTTATCTTCAACAGAGTCGTACTGGATATGGTTGAATTTGGATATTCTGTTCGCTGGTCGGTACTGGGGTGTGACGAATATGGTGTGCCTCAGGAGCGGAAGAGACTGCTTCTCATTGCTTCGGGGTAAGTGAAGTGAAAGACGAAGCTTTTCATATTTCCATGTTTACATGTATATATCTAACCACGTGCCCATAGACCCGGTGAAGTTCTGCCACATTATGCCCAACCCACTCACGGCATGCCCGGTCACGGTTTACTTCCCCGTGAGACCATTTCATCCACCATTGACAACATTCCTCCTGATGCCGACGACCACAACGTTGAAGGGGCACTCGCGCGGTGGGCTCTGAGCCACCGACCGTCTTTTGATCGCCACTCTCTAGCCAGGACCATTACTTGCGGGGGCGGCGAATACAACTACCACCCCTCGGGCACCCGGCCCTATACCAGTCGTGAGATGGCCCTCTTGCAGACATTCTCCCTGGACTTCCAGTTTACTGGGAGATTCATGCGCAAGCAGATTGGGAATGCCGTGCCCCCGCTCTTCGCCAAAGCTATCTATGGAGAGATCGTCAAGTCTCTGCGTGAGACTGATACAGAGGAGGCCATGGGAATCTTCCACTGATTCATCAGTGAGAGTGATGGTGAGGGCAACGATGAGAGAAAGGAGAGGCGTAGGAAGAGGGAGTGGAGTTGGGGATTGGGGGTTGGGGTTGGCCCTCTGGGGAGACGATCTGCGACCTCACGTGCAGATCAGCCGAGGGCGAAGGGGCTGTGAGCTCGGTGTGAGCTCCATCTAAGCACAAACATTTTTGCTCTTTACTTGTCTTTCTTCCTTTCATGCATATTCGGACCGCGTAAATTCCGATTTCGCTACATTTTACAGCTACTGTCTGTTGCTCTCTTGTTTACGTCCGATACTCGGATTCCCGCTAGGGAGCTCAACAGACGGTAATGTAACAATAAACTCGGCCCATTGAGAAAGTAATAGTGGAATTATTCGTCTGTTGACCTGTAGACAAAGGTAATTAATCCCATAAACAAGGGAGTGAGGAGGTTCACAAAGGTAGTTCACAAAGGTAGAGGGAAGTAATTGTTACCCGACTGTAACCGACCCTCGGCAGGATGAAGTCAGCTTGGAACTCTCCCCCGGACATTTTCTCCCTTTCCCCCCCAACATTTCTCCTTTCGTCCTTTTGTTTTTAAATCTACCATCTCCCCTGCTCCCTCTCTCCAATTGTGTCAATTGTTGGATCCTCAATTTCGATCCTATTCCCAATTCTTCTTTCACAATGTCCCTGCCCGCAGTGAGACGCCTGACCCACACGTCTCCCCGCACTTTGGCCCGCATCTCCAGATTTCCCACTTTGGCTTCTTCCCTCTCCATCACTCCCCGTATCTCTGTTCCGCGCACTCCCCGTTTCTCTACAATGGCCGCTCGTCAATCTTCCGCCCCGGCGGTTCACACCGACAAGTCCTATGACCCTGAAATTCAGGATATGGCCAGTTACATCCACGACTATAAGGTGGATTCCGACCTGGCAGTAAGTTAGCCCGGCTCGGTCAGATTGAGCACTGGCTAATTCTAAAATTTGTTGTTTACAGTTTGACACTGCCCGCCTGGTGTTCCTAGACACCCTTGGCTGTGGATTGGAGGCTCTAAAGTTCAAGGAGTGCACGAAGCTCCTTGGCCCTGTTGTGGACGGTACTGTCGTCCCCAATGGTACCCGTGTGCTTGGTACTCCTTACCAGCTGGACCCCGTCAATGGCGCTTTCAACATCGGTGCTATGATCCGCTGGCTTGACTACAATGACTGCTGGCTCGCTGCCGAGTGGGGTCACCCCTCGGACAACCTAGGTGGTATCTTGGCTGTGGCCGACTGGATCTCGCGCACCAACCGCGCCGGTGGAAACCTTGGCAACGGCAAGATCCTGAAGATCCATGATGTTTTGGAGGCCATGATCAAGGCCCACGAGATCCAGGGTGTCTTGGCTCTGGAGAACTCCTACAACAAGGTCGGCCTCGACCACGTTGTCCTCGTCAAGGTTGCGACCGCCGCTGTCGTCTCCAAGATGATGGGTCTTACTGAGAGACAGACCGCCGATGCTATTACTCAGGCTTGGGTGGATGGCCAGTCTCTCCGTACCTACCGCCACTCGCCCAACACCATGTCGCGTAAGTCGTGGGCTGCCGGTGATGCCTGCCAGCGCGCTGTGAACCTGGTTCTCAAGGTCCAGAAGGGCGAGGGTGGTCTCCGCACCGTTCTCTCTGCTCCTACCTGGGGCTTCTACGATGTCCTGTTCAAGGGCAAGAAGTTCCAGTTCCAGCGCCCCTACGGCAGTTACGTCATGGAGAACGTTCTGTTCAAGGTTTCCTATCCTGGTAAGTGCAAGAAAATTTTGCAAAAAATGATACTATATGGGGATTGACGGCAGCTAACTCCTTTTCAATAGCCGAGTTCCACTCTCAGACTGCCATTGAGGCCGCTGAAAAGGTCAATGCCAAGCTTGCGGCCATGGGCAAGAGTGCCAAGGACATCAAGGAGATCACCAACCGCACACACGAGGCATGCATCCGTATCATCGACAAGCAGTTCAAGGAGATGGACAACTTCGCCGACCGCGACCACTGTGTGCAGTACATGGTTGCCACCATGCTCGTCTTCGGCCGTCTGACCGCTAGCGACTACGCTGACGGCTCCGAGGCCGCCACCTCCCCTCTGCTGGAGGATCTCCGCAAGAAGATCCGCTGTGTCGAGGACACCAAGTTCACCACCGACTATCACGACCCCAGCAAGCGCACCATCCCCAACGCGCTGACCGTCACCCTGAACGACGGCACTGTCCTCGAGGAGATCGTCGTCGAGGCTCCTCTGGGCCACCGTCTCCGCCGCGAGGAGGCCAAGCCTGAGATTCTGGCCAAGTACAAGCGTCACCTCGAGGCGCACTTTGACGAGGCTCGCGTCGATGAGCTGCTGAAGGTGGGCTGGAACCGCTCTGAGCTGGAGAACTACGATGTCGACAAGTATGTCGATCTCTACGTGAAGGACAAGATGATTGCCTCCTCATAAACATTTGAATGAACGGCTTGTCTGGTGTACCGCGCAGGAAATCACACGTGTATGACGAACATATCTTTTATATACCGCAAAATTGTATAGAGCTTTCTTTTTCAGTGTTTCTTCAGCATTATTCCATCCACAACATAACTATACATAGGTCTCCTCCATTATCAGCCCGAGGCACCTGGGGTGCAGTTCACTCCCAAATTCGACGGGGTATTAGCACACTGCACCTCACCACCCCCAGATGGCGCCGCAACAGTATAAGCGCTAACCTTGACATCACAAGTCCCACGAGCTCCACAAGAAAGACTGCCCGTAACAGCTTTATACTTTCCGCTAGTCTTCCCACTAATCTTGTCAAAAACAATGTCCGTCAAATCCGCATCTCCAGGATTCTTCACACAGTAATCCTTATCCTCTCCATAGCAACTCTGGATCTGAATTGCATAGTCACACCCATCAACCACAATATCGGTGAAGGTAACATTGCTCACTGTCGACATGGCGTGGCCGTTACCAGTGGGATACGTCTTGATACCCACTGCCTTGGTCGACTTAATCATCGTCGCGCCGGACACGTACACATTCTTCACGAAGTCCTTGGCACTCTTGCCCAGCGATCCCACCGATAGTCCATGGCTTCCGGTGCATGTAATGTCCCTGACTGTGACGCCGTCCGCACCGGGCTTGAATGCCACGCAGTCATCGTCGTTCTGAACGTGAACGTTGCTGATGGTCACGTCCGTGCTGGCGCCAATATCGAAGCCGTCTGTGTTCTTCGGCTCATTGTCGCTTTTAGAGTTGGCGTCCATTTTTAGGTTGAGGAATTTCGCGGTCTTGGTGTCGCCCTTGATGGAATTGAAGACGTTGGGTGGGTTCTTTTGGCGGAGGTTTGAGACCTCGATATTAGAGCCGCCGGTGATGTAGAGGAGGGTTGGGCGGCGGTAGCTGCTGTCTTTGGCGAAAAGGTCCCATCTATACGTTATATCAGTGAACTGAACTGAGAGTTAAAAAAGGATAAAAGGAAAGGAATGCATACGCATTTTGCCCATTTCCGTCTATGACTCCTGTGCCTGTCACAGACCGGAGTCTAAGTCCATCAATATTCTTGATATTGATCATTGCTGTTTGTCCCTTCCAGACATTTGTCGACGAGCTGAATTTCAAGGTGCCTTCTAGCTGGAAGTCACAGCCAACACATCCCGCAAAGTCCAGTGGGCTGTTCAGGTAGTAGGTTTTGTCGGCGGGGATAACAATAGTGCCTCCCTTGCCGCATGAGGCGATTGCCGATGCGATAGCGGGAACATCGTCGATTGAAGCAGATCCACCTGTTGCTGGTGTGCACTGTGAAGCACGAACATGGTTATGTCTAAATTTGTCTGGTAGGGCGAGAGATGAGCCGAGGAGCGCAAAGACTGCGAGGGCTTTTGTAATCGACATGGCGCAAGTGATTGAATGTAGCACAGCTATGGTCTTGGAATAACTACGGAGTACGTATCTAGTGAATTCAAAGGTTTTATATCCTTTTTCATCTCCTTTTCTCTTATCATTTTTCTCTTTTCAAGTGTTTTGCATGTGGAGGCTTCCAATGTTTCGACGGGTAAATAAGACAACCTGAAACGCCTCTATTTTAGCCCCAGGCCCGCCATTCGAGGAATAATTTCTTCAGTGAATATCATTTCATCATTCTCAAACAGAGATACTGTTGTAGGGCCCAGAAATTCTCTTTGATTACCCAATGAATTGTCCTCCGGTTATTTCTCCACGTTGATTTCCCCCGATCTACGATCTGCATGTACCCTGCATGTCCACTTCCTTGGAGCCACGGGGTGCGCAACGTGGAAGTTCGTACAAGTACCCGTACTCCGTGTCCCATTGAGAGGAATGAGACAATTAATATACTGTGGATATAATTGCCTAAATATGTTCCCCCCTTAATAATGAAAGCCGAGGAAGCCGAAGGAACATCACCGCTTATGGAAATATCTCGGAGAAAATATGTCTCATGTCTCATGAACTATACAAAACTCCGGTGGGAGCACGTGGAGTCTCACCTTGAAACAACGTTCGTATACTAGTTTGATCAGATCTAATATCTATAAAAGCGTACTCCGGATGGAGTACATAAACCGGCAATCTTTCCCTTCTCTCCGGTAAAACAGCAATTCCCACTAAAATGCATCCACACAAGTTCCTCCTCGCAGCCCTATCCCTGGGCACGGCTGTCCTGGGTGCACCCGCTGAACTAGCCACTCGCGCAGCCAGGACAAGTGCCCCCGCAGGCTGCCTGACAGTCGGTTCTGGCGGGAAATACTCGACTATCGGCGCTGCACTGACTGCCCTCGGCTCTTCCTCAGCGGCGGCTTGTATCTATGTTGCAAGTGGCACGTACAAGGAACAGCTTACCATCAACTATGCCGGTCCTCTGACTTTGTATGGTCAGACCGTCGATGCGGAGACGTACAAGGAGAACACTGTTACCATTACCCACACGATCTCTTCGCCCGTGGCTGGCTCGCTGGACAAGAGTGCTACTGTAAATGTTGTCGCTGATAGGTTCAAGATGCACAACATCAATGTGGTGAATGGATTCGGGAAAGGTGCGCAGGCTGTTGCGTGAGTATTTATCTCTTGCTTCGGTATTTGAATTTTGACTGACTATACCAGACTCGTCGCCAATGCCAATAAGCTCGTCTTCTATGCATGCCAGTTCACTGGATACCAGGATACCCTGTACGCCAAGTCGGGAACACAGTACTATGTCAACAGCAAGATTGTTGGTAAGTTATTTTCTATCACATCCATCTATCACATCCATCTATCTCAAAATGCTAACAATTCCCAGGTGCCGTGGACTACATCTTCGGTGCCGCCTCCGCCTGGTTCAACAACTGCGACATCGTCTCCAACGGCCCTGGCGCAATTACTGCTAGTTCGCGCCAGACAGCCACCGACAATACCTGGTATGCATTCGAACACTGCAATGTCAAGGGTGCGTCTAGCGCTGTGCTCGCTGGCACTGTATACCTTGGCCGTCCGTGGCGTGGCCTTGCTCGTGTCATCTACCAGAACTCTAACCTGGGTAGTGTGGTCAATGCCAAGGGATGGACTCCAATGGCGGAGGGAGCTACGCCACTCTACTATGAGTATAAGAATACTGGGGCCGGGTCGGATACTTCTGCTCGCCAGTTCTTGAGTCCTATCTCGGCGGCGGTCACGAAGGAGACTGTTTTGGGAAGCGACTATGCTACTTGGATTTGATTCAAGTTATCAGTGGACCATGGAGTCATACCAGGGTCTAGTTTGGTCAAATGTATTTTAAGAAGGATATGGTCTTGGAGAGAGACTATGCTGGTTGGACTGACTTTAGTTATTAGTGAACTATGGAGTCGATCGGGGTCTAGTTCGTTGAAATGTATTTTTAAATTGGCCCGATTGTTAATGTTTCAATGGTGTGATACTTGTGCAAATATATATTATGTACACATCTTAGTCCCTAGGCTCATAAGAATAAGGCAACAACTCATCAATAGAGACAGATTTGACCTCCCCACCCTTCTGCACAATAGCTCGAATCCCAGGATGCAAATCACGCAGCACCTGTCGACAGCGACCACACGGATTGAGGATAGCTCCATCCTGGCCGTCTTCCCCAACAGCAACAATATGCGATAGACGAGGAGTCCCGGCACCCGCGGCTACACCGAGGACCACGAGCTCGGCACATGGTCCGCCCGTGAAGTGAAACACGTTCACGCCGGTGAAAACTTGGCCATTGGTTGAGAGGGCTGCGCTGGCTACGCTGTGGATATCTGATTTGGGGATTGCATTGATAGTCGTTCTTGCGATTTTGATGAGGTTGGTTTCTTCGGGAGTTAAGTCCATTGTGACGGATGAAGATCCGATGCTTGATTTTTGATAGAGGTATGTGTGATATGTTGGGACCTAAATCAGGAGAGGATGCAAGTATGCACAGAATTTGTATATATTTGGGGGAAATAAAAAGAAAGAGGGAGCAGCTTAAAAGTTGCCTCCATAACAGACGGGGGAATGCGGAGTTCCGAGATAAATTTCCTATTCCGGTGCCCGATTACTCAGAGTTCAAAGTTGATTGTTGCGGATGATGAGAGTATACGATCATGATAATTTACTGTATACGTTCCTGATGTAAGGAAATCTGGAGGTAGTATGAAAAGAGGGCTGGGAGTAAAGTGTTGACCAGGTCATCCTTTGAAGGGGTCAAACTACGCCATGAAGGTGCCATTCGGCCGGTTACATAGATCCCCTTTCTATCATAACCATGGTGATCATAGTTCCCTCTATTATGCTTGCATGTGGATACATAAAACAAGGTCTTCCTCTGAGGTCTATTTAGACAGATGGACAATAGATGTATAAATGTAGATCAAAGAGCTGAATGAACATGATTCATGTCACGTTGATGGATATCTCAAAGCAAAAAAAGGCAAGAAAAAGTAAGGTGAAAACAAAGTAAGGAAAAGCAAGAAGCCGTCGTGATCGCACGGGGCCAATCTTGGAGGGTATAACCGCTGACAATATCAATGCAAATTGCACTTGGCAAGCACACCCATAGGATCATGCATGCAGCAAGTCAAGTATTTCCGGAAATTATCCTCGTGTCTCTTGCCCTGGCGAATACGAAGCTTGGCAGATCGGGCACTTGTAACGACGGTATTCAAACCAGGATTTCAGACAATCTAGGTGGAAGGCATGCTTGCAGCGATTCAGTACGAGGACCTCGCTATCGGGTGGGGAATGCTGTGCCCCGCAGGTGCAGCGGGGGTCTGGCCGTGTAGTCGGGTTGTGGTTGTGCTGGCCGTGGGCCAGAACGGCTGGGTCGGGACAGGCGAGGTATGGGGATGACGACAGTGCTGAGAGACAGATGGGGCTGGGCGAGTTAGCTTGTTTCTAGAAGATTCAGGCAATTTGTCCGGGGTCATTTGGCCGGTCTGCTTATCTCTAGCCAAGACCACGTGTGTTTATCCAGGAACGGGGCGAATTGGCATTGGGGGTATTCGCGGGCAAGAATGCCTTGCCCAGAAACGTGAATTCGCCTCCATGAAAACTCGTCGATCCTAATAGGGCGGAGGGACCGAGCGCCCAGCCCTAGTGTCCCCACACTATATCATCGAGCCGCAGGGCCAAGAGGTTCAAGGAGGAGGGCCCGGGATCGGAGACCGGTGGAATAATGAAATATCACAACTTACCAAGTATCTTGGCCGTATTGCTGGGCATTGGCAGGCACGTTTTGTTCTTCCAACCATCGATCCACGGACACAGGTTGGCCCAACACGTTCTGCAACTGTACCTGATAGACCGGTGGGAGAACTCGGGTTTCGGCCATTGCACGCATGGCCGTGCGTCGCCGGTGATGCCACATGATCATCCTAAATGGAAAATCATACAAATCAGTGATCGGCACGTCAGAAGTTCGAGAACAATCGTATGCATGAAGCGCGGGGGAATGCCAAGACTCTCGTGCCTCCGTACTCACACCGGAATCATGCTGATCAGGGAAAACAGCGCAACGGCCCCAATCACAACCCCGATTATCTCCTCTCGGGGCATAGAATTGTCCGCCATGAGTGGAGGGTCATATGAATTCTGGGTCCAAGCGAAGAGGATACGAGAAGAAAATAAAAATAAGGAATTGGAGTATCGCCTAGTAGTAGACCCAATGAGAAAGGAGAAATAAGCGTAACGTGAGACAGTGCAACCTGGATCGGATCACTCGGGTCAATTATGTATTCAGGCACCGTGTCCCCAATAACAATCGATGGCCCATTATCTGAGGCAACAAAGCAAGTTAAAATCGGATTTTTGCCACATAAGAGTAGAAAAATGTCTCCGGAGAAGTGGGCGGATTTGAAGCGGAGGAACTCTCGAGCCCCGAAATGCCAAGAACTTCCAAGAGCCAAGAGCCAAGACGCCCAGAGGTGGGAAATAAACCAGAGAAACAGAAAGCGACAACCGGTCCAGCCAAGGAATGCCAAGAATTCTCCGCACCAATCAGCGTCGTAGAATACTCGCGTGGGACCGACCGAGGCGTCGCCCAGAGTGGTTTGCGTCATTGTCTGAATTGGGAAAGTCAGTATGATGCGCCAAGAAGAGTCCGCTTGATACCGAAATCTGGTAGATGAAGCTGATTGGCCAGCAAAACATCATTATGCTGGTTCCCCGGATGTCGTACACGATTTCCACCAGATTATCTCCGGTCTTAACAGCCGGTTATCTTTCGCCATCCACTGGCATTCTGATCTTATTTATACTCTGAGACATCCCCCCCGGAAGAAAAGAAAAGAAGGTTGTTTCATAGAAGTGTGCCTATTACTCAAAGTAATTCCGGTGTATGGACTCTCATTCTCTTACAGATATCTTCTATAAGTTGCCCCCTTAAGAGCCTCATAGAAGTACATCTTTCACTCAATTTACTCAATTCACTCGAATATCTCAACTAGAGACACTCTCTTACCATTCGCGAAATCGCGAAATGTCGCAGGAAGCCCAAAAAGGCTCTGGCTCTGACAGCCCTGCTGACATTACACAACAACCTCTCTCACAGCCCGCCCATAGTCTCTCCTTTGAAGACGTTATCGGCGAACTCCAAACCAATTCTGATGATGGCCTGACTTCTGCAGAGGTCAAGCAGCGCCTTGAGAAATATGGCGAGAATATACTTGAAGGAGACGAAGGCGTCTCCTTGGCAAAGATTGTCATTCGACAAATCGCCAATGCTATGATGCTGGTAAGTCAGAAGCCGGAAAGAGCCACTAAAGAGTGATTGCTAAGAATTTGTAGGTCCTCATCATCGCCATGGCCGTCAGTTTCGGCATCCAGTCCTGGATCGAAGGAGGCTTCATCGCCGCCGTAATCGCTCTGAACATCGTCGTCGGTGTTTACCAAGACTACGCCGCAGAGAAGACTATGGACTCGCTGCGATCGCTCAGCTCGCCCACAGGTGTAGTCTCTCGCGACGGCAAGACCGCAACTGTTCCAGCAAATGAGATCGTCCCCGGTGACATGGTCGAATTGAAAGTAGGAGACACTGTTCCTGCCGATGTCAGGTGTGTACCGCAACCCCCGCACAGAATGCATAAGAACTCCCATCTAACCCCTTCGCAGACTTGTTGAAGCATTTAACTTCGAAACCGACGAAGCACTGCTAACCGGCGAGTCCCTCCCGGTCCAGAAAGAAGCAGAGGCCATCTTTGAAGTCGACACCGGCCCAGGTGACAGACTGAACATCGCCTACAGCTCGTCAACCGTGACCCGAGGACGCGCTCGCGGTGTCGTTGTGGGAACTGGAATGAGAACCGAGATTGGAGCTATCGCACAAGCCCTCCGTGGAACCGACTCAAAGCGTCGCCCTGTTAAGCGTGGACCTGAAGGCGAAACAAAGAAGAGATGGTATATCCAGGCCTGGACATTGACAACCACTGATGCCATTGGCCGGTTCTTGGGTACTAATGTTGGTACACCTTTGCAGCGGAAACTGTCCAAGCTGGCGCTTCTGCTCTTTGCTATCGCTGTTGTTTTTGCGATTGTCGTTGCTGCGGCGAATAACTGGCGCGGTGATAGCGAGGTTATCATTTATGCGGTTGCGACTGGTCTGGCTATGATTCCGGCCTGTTTGGTGGTTGTGTTGACAATCACTATGGCCGTCGGAACGAAACAGATGGTCCAGCGCCATGTCATCGTCCGGAAGCTGGATTCCTTGGAGGCACTCGGTGCTGTCACCAATATCTGCTCAGATAAGACTGGTACTCTGACCCAAGGCCGCATGGTTGCAAAGAGGGCTTGGCTTCCATCCCTGGGAACTTACTCAGTCGGTGCCTCGAATGAACCTCTCAACCCCCAAGACGGTGACCTGAGCTTGATGGCCGAGCCCCCGATCAAACTGGGCGCGGAGAATTTGGGTGATGTAGCGTCGCCAGATGACTTGTTAAAAGACAATGATACACTCAAAGACTTCCTTAACGTCACTGCCATGGCCAACCTGGCCCATCTCCACCAAAGTGCCACTGAGGGATGGCAGGCTCGCGGCGAACCCACAGACATTGCAATTCAGGTTTTCGCCTCTCGATTTAACTGGGGTCTGGATCGCTGGACCAAGGGCGAGAAGCCGATCTGGCAGCAGAAGGCGGAGTACCCATTTGACTCAAGCGTGAAGAAAATGTCTGTTATTTTCTCAAAGGGCGACGACAACTCAGAGAAGAGTCGCGAAATGATTTTCACCAAGGGCGCTGTCGAACGTGTTCTCGAGGCGTGCACTACCATCAAATGGAAGCCTGATTCCGACCCTGTTCCAATCGACGATGAAATGCGCGAAGAAATATTGCAGAACATGGAGGCTTTGGCTAAAGAGGGTCTTCGTGTGCTCGCTATGGCCGGTCGTGAGAACACTGCCCCCGCAAAAGAAGGCGGCGACCCTCTTCCCCGTGAGGAGGTCGAGAAGGACTTGTCTTTCTACGGTTTGATCGGTCTCTATGATCCTCCTCGTCCGGAGACAGCTGGGGCTATTGCCCTTTGCTACAAGGCTGGAATCTCCGTGCACATGGTTACCGGTGATCACCCCGGTACTGCGCGTGCGATCGCAGCCCAAGTTGGGATCATTCCTCCAAACATGGATATGATCGCCAAGGACGTTGCTGATGCTATGGTTATGACGGCTTCTCAGTTTGACAAATTAACCGAAGACGAGATTGATGAACTTCCCACCCTTCCGTTGGTTATTGCTCGCTGCGCGCCTAATACAAAGGTTCGCATGATTGATGCCCTACACCGTCGTGGGCGCTTTGTGGCTATGACCGGCGACGGAGTTAACGACTCTCCCTCGCTTAAGCGGGCTGATGTCGGTATTGCTATGGGTCAAAATGGCTCTGACGTGGCTAAGGATGCTTCCGAGTTGGTGCTATCTGATGATAACTTTGCTTCCATCATCAACGGCATTGAGGAAGGTCGTCGCATTTTCGATAACATCCAGAAATTCGTTCTGCATCTTCTTGCAGAAAATGTTGCTTTGGCTTTGACCCTGCTTATTGGATTGGCCTTCAAGGATGAAAACGACCAGTCTGTCTTCCCTATCGCCCCTGTCGAGATTATCTGGATTATCATGATTACCTCTGGTCTCCCTGATATGGGCCTGGGAATGGAGATCGCCGCTCCAGAAGTGATGGACCGGCCACCGCAAAGCGTAAGTCCCTCTAAAACCCTTCCCCAACAATTCAATTTACTAACAAACCACAGAAACAAGGCATCTTCACCTGGGAAATCATCATCGACACCTTTGTATACGGATTCTGGATGGCCGCTCTCTGTCTGTCAGCATTCTCTCTCGTCATGTTCCAATGGGGCAACGGCGATCTCGCCCAGGGCTGCAACACGCATTACAACGATCCCAGCAAACCCTACGACTGCGACACAGTTTTCCGTGCCCGCGCTACTACCTTTACCTGCATGACCTGGTTCGCCCTCTTCCTAGCATGGGAGATGATGCACCTGCGCCGCAGCTTCTTCCAGATGCAGCCCAACTCGAAGAAACGCTATACCCAGTGGATGCATGATATCTGGCGCAACAAATTCCTCTTCTTTGGTATCATGACTGGTTTCGTTCTTGCCTTCCCTATCATCTACATCCCTGTTATCAACCACAGTGTCTTCAAGCACAGCAGTATCTCATGGGAGTGGGGTATTGTCTTTGTTGAGACGGTGCTTTTCTTCCTTGGTATTGAGAGCTGGAAGTGGTGCAAGCGTGTTTATTTCCGTCGCCAGGACCGCAAGGCTGCAGCTCGGGGTGATCAGCCTGGTGGTGACCGTCGGGATCTGAGAGATTTCAGTCGCTATACTACTATGGACCGCTCGGATACTCAGGCTAGTGAAATGAAGGTGGAGCAATCTATGGTCTAGATATCTAGATGTCTAAATGAACAAGTAATTTCAAATACAACCGAGGACCTCAAATTAATATAAATAGGTCCACGCTACAATGTAGATGCTCATAAAGATGTAGACCTATTTGCCATTGATATTCTATGGGGTGGACCGCCTCTATCAGCCAAGGGATCGAAGCAAGTCTCAGCTTATGAAGAAATACATAGGTTCATGGGTACATATGTATTTTAAACAAAGGAAAGCTGTAGTTAACAAGATGCCTTCACGTAACTAGATAACTTAGTATCATGTTACAATAATCAGGCTGGATTGACGACTGTGCAACATGGGAATCTAAATCTAGTAGGTCCAATGGAAATCCGTCTATCTTCAACCAAGCTTTACGGAGATGCAAATCAAAGTACCCCATACTTTCATAATTTTGACGCATTTTTGTGACTTTGATCGAGCCACGACTGAATTATCCGTGTCAAACCATCGATTTCTGCTTCGGTGTTTCCTGCATGCAAACAAACTCGCACTCGCTCCTTTCCCTCGGGAATCGTCGGCGGCATAATCGCTCGAACAATGAATCCGTTCTCCTGGCATAGGCTCGCCAGCTGTCGTGGCTGCGATGTGCGAAGGGAGATAATGGGAGAGGTGGGGAAATGGTCAACTTCAAACATGACTGATTGATATGTGTGGAGGCCATCAAGCCGTAGTCGGAGATGGCGGATCACCTCCTGAAGTCGGCGTTGTAACTATGATCCAGTTAGCTGCTGGGTATTAAGATTCTGAAGACAGATCAACTTACTGATTCAGTTTCACCAGATGATAGGAGCTCGTATGCTGCGCGAATCGATGCCAGGAATGGGAATCCTAGAGCGGTGGTATAGATCAAACTCCGGGCATAGTTGATCAGGTAATCCCTTGTCTCCGGTCCACAGAGAACCATGGCTGGATACGTGTCAGTCGGGTATTTCAAGGGATGATCAACCTAGATAAGACAACATACCTCCGTGACTCGCTAGTGCCTTGCCGAATGTGTGTACTCGGATGAACATGCGATCCTGAACACCAAGTTCCTGAACCACCCCAGCACCCCGCGGTCCAAATACACCAGTCGCATGCGCTTCATCGACGTAGAAATATCCATTGCCGTGAGGTAGCAGCTCATCAACAACCGCGATAAACTCCTTGATGGGAGCGACATCGCCGTCCATGCTGTAGATGGACTCAATGAGCACGAAGACATTGCGAGTGCCTTCCGCAATTGCTGGGTCTTCACCTATCTGCGATTGTAGAACCTCCCTCAAGCCAATCGGCGAACTGTGGGCGAACATCTTCCGAGGACCGGCCCGCGACAGACGCATGCCCTCGTGGGCACTGGCGTGGATGAGCTCATCGTACAAAATCACATCGCCTGGCTGGGGGATGCTGGATAGTACGCCAACATTGGCGTCGTATCCGGAATTGAATAGAAGTGCTGTCGGGGCTTGATGGAATGTCGCGACAAAGTTCTCGAGCTCTTCCGCGTAGGCCGAATTCCCGTCTAATAGCCGGGAACCTCCGCTGGCAAGGGGGAATGATGGCGGTGTGTTGTTCAAAAGTGCCAGAAAGCGTTCTCGGTATGCGGAAGATGTTGACAGTGACAGGAAGTCGTTGGAGGAGAAATCCACAGCTGTCCGGGGTAAAACGGTCAGCCTCCGACGGGAAGATTTGGCTTCCCGGCGCGATAATGCGGCGGATAGTGAGTCAACGAGGGTTTTGGGCGATGTTGTCCTCGATGTCTCCGATGTCCTCGGTTGAGTATCAGTCATTGTATCGGCTTTCATGATCTCATTGACGTCAAATTCCCTGATGTTCCTGTTCCTGAGCGCGGTCCACAGGATATCCACGAGCTATCCACTTTATTTTTAGTTTCGAATATTGTTGATTGTTGAGATTGGCAACAGAACAGATCCTATTCCCCAAAGCCAAGAAGTTCAAGTCGTTGAGAAACCCAACAGGAGAGCCCGGTGAAATGCAGAAAATGTGGAGATTTGGCGTGGAGTCGGAAACTCAATGCAGGTTGTCTCTGCCGAGGTCTCTCTTTTGGACTTCGTGACTCACTTCACTTCATATCATCATGCCTCCGGTCGGCGCAGCGCTCTGGCGCAGTTTACGAGCCCACCAAGTCTACGGGGCTAACACGGACGTGGGGAAGACAATTATCTCCACAGTGTTGTGTAATGCCGTTCAACGCCAGAAACAGCAGGCCGCATTCCTCAAGCCCGTGTCTACAGGGGCATTGGATGATGCCGATGATCGGTAGGCGAACTTTGAAGCAATTCAATTGAATTTAATTCCGTTCAATCGCTGACGGTCGCAGACACTTGCAACGTTACGGCGCCGGGACGCTCACCAAATGTCTTTACCAATTCGATGACCCAGTGAGCCCGCATTTGGCAGTAAAGGGTAAATTTGTAAGTGCCCATTTTCCTAATTAGAAGACACCAAGCTCATCGCGTAGGTTCCACGAGATGATGATCTCCTCGCGTCTATACATAACACGCTGTCCGGATGGGCGCGGTCGGACATTGACTTCGCCCTTGTTGAGACCGCCGGGGGCGTGCACTCCCCCGGCCCTAATGGCAACTCACAAGCAGACTTGTATCGACCCCTCCGGCTGCCAATCGTGCTGGTGGCAGACTCTCGTCTAGGAGGAATATCTTCTTCGATCTCTGCCTACGAGTCATTGCTCCTCCGTGGCTATGATGTCTCATCGGTTCTCTTGTTCCGAGATGAGTACTACCAAAATCACGAATACCTCCGTGATTACTTCCAGAAAAAGAGTATTCCCTTGGTGTCTCTACCAGCACCTCCAGCCCGACCATCGCAGCTGGACGCCGAATCCCAGTTAAGGGACGAGGAGGCCATGCTCAACTATTACCAAAAATCCGCAAATGAGTCGGAGATCCTCCGACTGCTTGAAGAGATGTCCGTCAACAACACCGAGCGCATCCAGCGCCTGGAAGAGATGGCCGACCGTGCGCAAGAGCTGATATGGTACCCCTTCACCCAGCACCAAGGCATGAAGGCCAAGGACATTACCGTCATCGACTCAGCGCATGATGACTACTTCCAAACATTCGGCTCCAACACATCCAAAGATACCCAAAGCGAACTGCGCCCGACATTCGACGGATCTGCTTCCTGGTGGACTCAAGGCTTGGGCCACGGGAATCCCGAGCTATCACTATCTGCTGCTTATGCCGCCGGTCGGTACGGACATGTCATGTTCGCAGGAGCTGTCCATGAGCCAGCACTGGCGCTTGCGGATGATTTACTGAAGACCATCGAAAACCCGAGGCTTACTAAGGTCTTCTACACAGACAATGGAAGCACGGGGATGGAAGTTGCTGTGAAGATGGGTCTTCGCGCTTCATGCGACCGGTACGGCTGGGATGCCAGCCAGGAGCAGATTGGTATTCTTGGACTCAAGGGTAGCTACCACGGTGACACCATTGGTGTTATGGACTGTTCGGAGCCTTCAACATTCAATAAGAAGGTTGAGTGGTATCGTGGTCGTGGCCACTGGTTTGACTTCCCTCTTGTCAAGATGGTTGGCGGATCTTGGAAAGTTGAGATCCCCGGTGAGCTGCAGGCAGAACTCGGCGAGGATGTTGATTTCGCTTCGTTGGGCTCGGTCTTTGATCTCAGCCAGCGTCTTGAGTCTGCCACTGCCCAGCGTTACAAGGAATACATCCGTCGCACTATTGAGGATCTGGTCCAGCGCCAAGGGGTGAAGTTCGGTGCATTGATCCTGGAACCTGTCATCCTTGGTGCGGGTGGAATGCTTTTCTGGTAAGAATCCAGTAGTGCAATCATTCATTTACAAATGAACTAACTATCTTCTTCTAGTGATCCCCTCTTCCAGAGATGTCTGACCGATGTGGTCCGCGACCACCCAGAGCTGTTCTCCACCAACGCTCCAGCTCCCAAACAATCTCCGTCGTGGTCCGGCCTGCCAGTCATCTTCGACGAAGTCTTCACTGGACTGTACCGTCTCGGTCGCCGGACATCCGCATCTTTCTTAGGTGTGCACCCCGACGTCGCCGTTAACGCCAAACTCCTTACGGGCGGGCTGATACCGCTTTGCACGACTGTTGCTAGCGAGGAAATTTTCGATGCTTTCTCGAGTCCGGAGAAAAGCGACGCCCTCCTCCATGGCCACAGTTATACCGCCCATGCCGTTGGATGCACGGTCGCTGTTGACTCCCTGAAGACCATGGCTAAGCTTGATACTGATGGATCGTGGGATGCATTCCGCGCTGACTGGCGTAGCAGTTCACCTGCTACTGTTGATGCTTCAACTCCGGATGTGTGGAGTGTCTGGTCACATGGTTTGCTTCAGGACCTGTCTTCCACCAACTCGGTGGAGAGCGTGTTTGCCATTGGAACTGTGCTTAGCATTTCGCTGCGTGATGCAGCTGGTGGAGGTATGTTCTTGGGACCTGAAATCAAGCATTGATAAAGCTAACAACATTGCAGGCTACAACTCCAATGCCGCAAAGGGACTGCAGCAGAAGCTGGCTGTTGGCGGTGATCAGTTCAATGTTCACTCGCGCGTCCTCGGCAACGTGCTTTACCTGATGTCTAGTGTCACCTCGAAACCCGAGTCGCTCCGAGAGATGGAGCGTCTCCTCCGATCAGCATTGGTGTAGGTAAGTCATAGATAACAAACCTATATACGAAAATGTCAATTGAATATTTCAGCGCATCGTACTGTACAGCATCTGCACCCATTCCTAGCAAATATTATTCCCATCAATAAACCAATTCTAGGCACTAGGTTCAATATTTCCTGGTCTCACGGCCGGAATTTCTTATATACTTCCCTTGATGAATGAACCTTCTGATACGCACTTTAAATTTTATCTATCGATGACTACACCATGACCGTCGCGAATGACCTTGTGCCGATTTAGCTATACAAGATACAATGTCTCGGTGTTTGTTGCTGTGGGTAAGCCTATCTTCTGTTGTACTAGATGCACCTAGTTAGGCGAGATTAACAATACAGGCCATCGAGTCCTATCTGTGGTTGTTTACTACTAGGTCAATCCCAGTGACTTCATTGATTTTCCCCATAAAATAGTATATGAGTCTCTACGTTGTCGGCCCCAGACCTGATCCACCTTCAAAGGTTATGACGTTGTCTTCCTGGGTCAGAGAAAGGACCTCGACGTTATGACAACCTTTACCACCCCGCCAAAACGAGACACGGCTATGCTTCCCGCGTATGGGCAACTGGTCATTGCATTCACGGATGATTCCGGCCTTTGGACCATGGGTTATCAAATCAAATTGGGTGGCATTACTAAGGAGGAGTTTGTGGAGCAGTGTGGTGAGATCAACCCTTTCATTAACTACCATTACATGACGGACTCCACGAGAACTGGGAGAGGTGGAGTGCTTTGGGGGATTGACTGAGTGCGGAGAAGGATTATTCGGGCATTTGAACTTTGAGTTATGTTGGGATTTCTTGCAACCCGGGGTCGTCCGGGGGAAGTTTGGAGATGCAGGGGCCAGAATGTGGAGGGAGGTACGGAGTACAATATAGTACATAATAGGTACGGGGACTCCAATGTTTCTAGTTTGTGATATACAATGAATTGTCCCGATTAGGAAGGTGTTGTATAAATATTTATAATAGTATCTGCCCTAAATCATCTGCATTAACCTTCGGATATGCGGCTTGCCAAAATAGCCGAACCATAAATGTCTGCCTATGCGGGATTGGCAAGGCTTGACTAAAATTGATTTTTTTTGTGGTGGCAAAAGAACTTCACTCCAAGCCCCACAAGTTACTCTTTGTGTGTTCCTGGAATCCTTAATTTGATTTGCCGTCTCTCAGGTACGGAGTACAATCTACAACGTACGTATACTATTCATTCATTTTCACAATAACTGAGATTATTTGCATAGAGCAACCCATAAACGAGTGCACATCTTGGCATTTGGTAACAGCTTGCAGCTATTGAGACTCGGGATTGGCCCAGTATCGGAATAAGCGGCTATCGTCGGCCAGCCGTCCGGGTCCGGTAATTCTTGTTGTGTAATAGAATTCCGGGCCGAGACTATTATTGGCCAGCTAGCAATAAAGCGGGCCGCGATGACTCCACTCTGCTGTCCGGAAGTGGATATCCCTACGCTTAATTTCTGTGGATGATCGCAACTTAGCATCAAAGCTTTTCATTTTTTTTGTCTGAGCCGCAATATTATTCAAAACATAATGTGAATAGGCAATAGAAATTCAATCGCCACTGATAAGCACTGATACATACCTTCCAGAAGATCCGAGCCCCAGAATTCTGCACTCCAACTCTCCATACAAGTTAAGCCGGGGTTGTCTCGGTTGACGTTGAGGAAAGCTCCACCTCTTGGTTGGAGAAATTTTTTCCCTTTTTCCACACATACAAGGAGCTTGGTTCTTCTCTTCCATTCTTCCCTTTCTCTATTCCCGCTTTTACTCCTTCCCTGTCGGTCTATACGCGTCGACATCATGGTTCGCGATGGAGTGACACCCTACCAGGAGCCGACTGACTCGGAGTCGGGATATAATGAGAAGAAGATGTTGGAGGACCAGAATCCACAGTATCAGGATGCCTTTGGAAATGAGGAGGGTGCCGAGGTTAAATATAAAACTATGAAGTGGTGGTAAGTTCACGCAATGAAGCAACGACTTTCAAGAATGTGGGCTAATTCTGTGATAGGCAAACGGGAATGTGTAAGTGATAGCAGACGCGCATGATCAAAACTGTTGATCAGTTGATCAGGTGTTATGAACCAATTCTGACCAATATATCTAGTCATGATCGCCGAATCCGTCTCTCTGGGTGTCTTGTCCCTGCCCAAGACCCTCGCCCAGCTAGGCCTTGCCCCAGCTCTCATCCTCATTATCGGACTGGGCATTCTCGCTACCTATACTGGATACACGATCCACCAATTCCGCGCCCGATACCCCCACATCCAGAACTTGGCCGACGCTGGCGAGGTCTTGTTCGGTGCTTTTGGACGCGAGCTGTTCGGCCTCGGCCAGCTGCTCTTCTCGATTTTCATTATGGGTTCTCACATCTTGACTTTCAGTGTCATGATGAACACCGTTACCGAACACGGAACTTGCACGATGGTTTTCACCGCTGTCGGATTCCTTATCTGTTTCGTCTGCTCTCTGCCCCGTACTATGAAGAACATGACCTATATCTCGTGCATGTGTATGTACAGCCGAATTCCGCGGGGACTCGGAAGAATCTTTGCTAATTTTCATCTATAGCCTTCGCCAGTATCGTAACTGCTGTCATCATCACTATGGTCGCAGTCGGTGTGCAGAACCAGGGTGGTCAGAACCTCAAGGCGACTATTGACACCGATCTGGTCCAGGCCTTCAGCGCTGTCACCAACATCGTCTTTGCCTATTGCGCCCACGTGGCTTTCTTCGGTCTGCTCGCTGAGATGGAGGACCCTAGGGATTTCCCCAAGGCTCTGATCATGCTGCAGACTTTCGAAATTGTCTTCTACACCGTTGCTGCAGTGGTGATCTACTACTATGTCGGCCAGGAGGTTACATCTCCCGCTCTTGGATCCGCGGGTCCGGTTCTGAAGAAGGTTGCTTACGGAGTTGCCATCCCAACTGTACGTTGTCCCTTCTCATTCTATGCCATATTCGGCTGCTGACATTCTCACAGATTATCGGTGCTGGTGTCGTCAACGGCCACATCGGTCTTAAGTACATCTACGTCCGCATGTTCCGTGGCACTGACCGCATGCACAAGCGTGACTGGACTGCTGTTGGCACCTGGGTTGCCATTGCTCTTACTTGCTGGGTTATTGCCTGGATCATTGCCGATGCCATTCCCGTCTTCAGTGATTTGCTGAGTCTGATTAGCTCGCTGTTCGCTAGTTGGTTCAGTTACGGTCTTGGTGGTGTGTACTGGTTGCACATCAACAAGGGCCAGTGGTTCTCTTCACCCCGGAAGATTGCACTCACGATTTTGAACGTGTGCATTATTCTGATTGGTGGTTGCATGTGTGGTCTTGGCCTTTACGTTTCCGGCAAGGCTATTCATGACGACGCCTCTAACAACAGCTTCTCTTGCGCTAGCAATACGGTGGTCTAAGCTTGTTGTTTGTATATAAAACGTTTTTGATGTACACTTTGTTGCTGGGCGATATCATTTGATTTGGTTATATAGAATTCTGCACATAGATTCAGCATTGAGCATATTTCAGCAGACTATTATCTTGCATAAATAAGTGCCACATACTAGACCCATTATAGGTTCAGACATAAAAAGGCAGAGATCAGTGATATTTGCGCTACCAATATCTTTGGATGTGCAAGTGCAACGTTACCTTTTGGATCTTGTTCGGACCAAAGAAAGATAAGCTAAGCGTAAGTGGATAACCTTGGAAGTGGATAAGTGGAGCTGGATGGATGTCGGCAGTCAAGAAAGTGTTGAGAGATTTCAGAGAGTTGGATTTGAATATTGCACCGAGAAAAGTGAGTATCTACTAAGACATATTCATGATCTAGTCAATATAGAGACAGTATATATCATTAATATCTAACCTAAAAAGGGTGTATCGCTATCTATGAAATGAAATCCGCCCCAGGCTCAAGCTCGGGGAAGCTTAAGCACGGCACATCCGCCCCGACTCAGACACAGACCAGACATCACTTCCAACAGCCTTGAGGGCATAGAAAAATGACGAAGGATCCCACTTGCGCTTGACAGCAAGCAGAGGGTGATAGTTGCTTCCGAAGAAGGTCTGCTTCCAGTTCGGCTGGCGGAAATTAGCCTCATTCTGGTAGCAGCCGCTGTTTGGCGTGACGGCCTCCAGTTGAGGCACATATTCAGTCGTCATCTTGTGTTGGTCCGCGAGCATCTTGGACCAAGGCGCAGTCTCGTTCCACGGTGTGCCGATTTGCATTGTGACTGCTGCATTGCGCAGGGCTGGGAATACTGCATTCGAGACGTTGACAGGGGCTGAGACGTTCATACCGACTCCGACGGCGATCACACCCGCCTGGGTCAGGTTGCGCAGTGCTGAGCCCATCCCGTTGTAGTCTTGCTCTAGGGTCTTGCGCGGAATCAGACGTCCGCCGTACTGGTAGGTGCCCACGGCTAGGTTACCCCAAGGAAGAGGACCCATGTACTTGTTGTAGTGTTCATAGTACGAGTCGTGTTGGCTGAAGGCCGCTTGGTACTTGATGTTAAGCTCAGTGAGCTTCGAGATGAATGGCCCGAGGATGTCTTTGACGTCATCGGTGGTCTGGTTGTAGGCTGTGATGGGGTTGATGATGAAGACGCTTGAGGTCATCTGGTAGATGACAGTGACACCCTGGTCGACCATGGCTGGCAACAGGGAGTGAAACTGCGAAACAGCCTCGTAGAAGGTATCCGTGGTTATGTTAGCCGCGGTGAACTGAAGAGCGGCACCGGCAATGGGCGCGTCTTTGTATGCCTTGACAACTATGGACATGACAACGCCGTAGTTTCCGGCGCCACCACCGCTTAGTGCCCAAAAGAGATCAGCATTCTCGGAGCGCGAGGCCTTGACCAACTTGCCAGCAGCGGTGACAACCTCGAACTCCAGGGTATTATCAGCTCCAAGACCGAACTTGGTGCTGAGGGCGGAGTGACCACCACCTTGGGTATACCCACCGGCGAGACCGACTGTGGGGCATTCGCCAGTGACGACGACAAGGCCCTTGGCAGATGCGGCTTCGAGGATCTGGTAACCAACGACACCAGCAGCGACCTTGAATGCAGGGCCTTGGTAGGTCGGACCGGACCAGTCCTTGTACTCGATATCAGTCAAGTGGTGAGTCCATACAGAGAGGGCACCGGCACCGGTTGAACGGCCAAGGTAACTACATCATATCAGCATTGATCTGCGGAAAGACCATCGAGGTGACTTACTCATGGCCGGTGTTACGGATAACGAAGCGGATGTTGTTATCACGGGCAAAATTGACAGCAGCAACGACCTGGTCGCTTGAAGAGACGTTCACAGCGTAGTTCACGTAGTTACCGAGGCGGCAGGGCTTGGACTTGGGGGTGAAGGGGTCACATGTCTGGTTGGCAAAGTACGTCTGCATCACCGACGAAGACGAGTCAAAACTGGCGGCGATTAGCGATGTCAATTTTCCCAGACTAGCACCACTTACTGGGGTTCAGGCTTGGTCCAGTTGGCCTGGAGCTCCGCACAGGCGGCAGCATCGTAGTTGGGTTCATGACAGGGACTACCAATTGGCACGGTCGCAACCAGACGACCACCAACCGTGCTGTTGAGGGAGGCCCAAGCCGATGGAGCAGGCCAACAGCTATCACCTGGCAAACAGTGACAATCCGATGCAATGGCCGGTGCGGCAAGAGCCACGAGGGAAGCCAATGTCCACTTCATGGTGGAGGAGATGGAAGGGATAAGGTTGTGAGAGAATGGAGGTACAGGTGTCGATCATTCTCTTTTATTTACATGGACTTCACATTCCTCGATTGAACACGAATCTCGAATTTCTACTATTCGGAGATGTTCCCTAGTGCGTCTAGTCCGATGAACTGTGGATAGGATCATTTCATCGGGGTGGAGCCGAGACAGTAAGTTAAAAGCCAGGTACGGAGCACAAAGTACTTATTTACATACATAATGCTTATACGCGCGATCTACCACGTGAGTTATGTATGATCTACACCAGGAATTCAATCGCGTGGACATTATTTCGATCAATCCAGGAACTTGATCATTATTTCTTTTTACCATCAACATCATTTTCAATCCAATCTCGGACGACTCTCGCGGAGGCCTCGGATAGGCTAAGAAAAGCCGGAGATCCCGAGGTCTGACCCAGTTTTTCAGTGTAACGTAGATGAAATTCATCCAATCAGTGAATTTAGTGCAACGCCATGAAGTCCCACCTCAGAGCCCGATTGCCTCGAGAATGCCTTTAGAGCTGAGACCCATGTAGTCAGTGCACCTTTACTCCGGAATAATATTAATATTCATGGATGTAAGTATATTGTATACTTTGGTGGCTTGAAGCTTGCATCTAACAATTTCGCAGTTCAGGGGTATTCTAGGCGATGACTTATATGGACAGTCAATATAAGACAAGTTCATACATTGTATTCAATTTGATGATGGATAGGATATGAACCAATTTTCAAGCCTTATTGAAAAAAAATCTCTCTCGTCCCACAAATAGGAAGATGGAGGAGAAATAATAGTCCTGGGAGAAAATGCACAAAATTTAGTTTGGGAATCTTGTAGCCATGAAACCATGGTTAAAATGTGCGAAATCGACCCAAGTAGAAATGATCGTCGAGAAAGAAAGGTAAAGTCTGCTCCATCCAAGGTTATAGATGAACCAATCCATGGCCCAGCCACAGATCATCTTACCTAGGTAGGCTTTCGGAGCATAGTGCGGGCTCTTGCCCGCTATGAATCAGGTTGACCGGGGTTCCATATACCAAGTTGTCTACCAGGGGTTGATGACCGAGACCACCCGTGGGTTTCTGCTAAACTCTTTCTATTTCCGGCCTTGCACCCGTCGAATAATCCAACTGCAAGTTCATTTATATGAGGGAACCGCCTGTTTGACAATGCTATCAAGTTAGCCCGTTTATATCCACGCAATGTCAGAAACTGATCTTGGCCCAGCCCTAGAGAAGGGGATTTGGGCCGCGGTGGCCATTGCTGCGGTGATCGTTATTTTACGAGTCTGGGGAAAAATCAAGATCAATCGATTTGGTATCGATGATGGTCTGATGATCTTCGCTGAGGTAGATCTCGCTGACTAGCTCGTGAATCACCTTCATAGACTGACTTCAATGCTCTCTAGATTCTGGCAATCGTATCAACAGTATTCTTGACCTTATCGGTTAAGCATGGGTTCGGCAAGGATCTCCGCACAATACCACCAAAGGACAAGGAAGACGTCTTGAAGAACATCGCAATCCAAGTGCCAATCGTCACCATCAGCACCACCATCGCCCGCTCCGCATTTATTATTTACATCATTCCCCTCCTCGGGACCAACAAGTACTACCAGGCCGCACTATGGACTGTTTTGGCGATACAATTCGCCGGGAACGTTGCATCGGCCGTGCTGCCACTTAGCATCTGTCGCGATGTGGCCGCTCTATGGGATCCAGCAGTCGCAGCTACGACGACCTGTGGGAACTTGGATTCAGTGATCAAATTCGCCTACTACTCCAATACATTCAACTCAGCCACCGATCTGTTTTTGGCCGTCTTCCCGACAGTGGTATTCTGGAACTTGAATCTGAAACTACGCATCAAGCTAAGTTTGATCGTTCTTCTTAGTCTGGGTATCGTGTAAGTACCTCTGCTCCAAATCGCATAGCCTCAATATACTAACTCAATGCTACAGTGCAATGATCGCATCCATCATCAAAACAACCAAACTGGACACCGTACCCAGCATCACGAATACCGGAGCTGGAGGCGGCATCGAACTAATCCGCTGGGGATACATCGAAAACGTCATTATCATCATCACCTCATCGATCCCCTGCATCCGCCCCTTGATCATATCCTCCGTTCACAAGCTCTCCAGCGGCAAATACTCCCGCTCCTACGAACTCGGCGGGGCCTTCAGCGGACGCAAATCGGGTGCTGCCCAAAACGAGACGAACCAGTCGCGCCGCACACGCAGATTCAAGTCTGATGTTGAGAATGATAGCGTCGATCACATTCTGGATCATAATCAGAGCGCGCATACTAGTACGTCTATAGGAGGCGCGCCTGATTCTCCTACTTTCTCTGCTCCTGGTATCACGAAGCAGGTTGAGATTTCGGTCATCTCAGATGCTAGGCAGCCCGTGAAAGACCATATGGGGGATTTCTCATTGGGGAGTTAGATCAGAGTTAATGTATATTAGGGTTGTTCTAGAACCAGACTTTTTCTACAGGCTCCAGAAGATTCCAACTTAGCTGTTCCATCGCGGAAGAACATCCGTTTGTGATCACAACTTGATTTGATTCGAGAGGATAGGCAGGTTTAAGATACCGATTCAAAAGATGGCACACAGCCTGCTTAAGTTTGGTCGATTCCATGCTTCCCTCATTGTATGTGAGGTAATTAGAGGAGATGCTGATCTTCGTGTGGAGATATTCAGCAAGATATCATGCATCGGGATTTTCTCGGCAATACCCACCGAGACATACCCGTCCACATTGGTTTCTGGGTGCCATATATTGCTGATGATGTTCCACAGAATACGGTGCGAGGCAACACGGAAAAATCCCGGCCGCGTGAAGATAGGAGATGAGATGCTTCCACGATGGATACATCCATTTTTTGTAGCCAAAGAAGATTGCAAGTAGAGATGTATTAGGAGGTATTGGGCCGGAAAGCTCTCTGAAAGATACCTTTGAGAAGTCAAGGTGAATAGAAAAAGCAGAGGAAGAAGGCAGGCCGATAGGAATATCTTGATAGAACCACAGCAGCACGGCCCGAAAAGTTGATCACATTATCGAACTTGAACACAAAACCTCGGGAGTCTAGTAGAAATAATTAGAATACCTGCTATCTACCTGGGATCTTGTGCCAAAGGCAGCTGCATATCCGAGAATTCGGCTAATTTATCTCGGGTATAAACTACAATATTCAGTCATATGCTTTTAGACTGGTCGCATCCAAGAATGGATACGATGATTTATGAACAGGTAATTTCACAGGTCTCGAAGAGATTGCATTTCAACCAATCAGAAAACCGTGACATGCTAAGCCTTTGTGGGTCCCCAATAGCCAATCATAGCCTGTTCTGTGACCCGGTGGTTGACAGTGGGAGCGCAGCAAAGGTTTGCGGGCAGCTCCCGGGCGGCAGTAAACCACTCCACTTCGTTCCTTGTTTCAGGGCATGGGCTCTTGGCAAGTCTCATGAAGCAATCACGAAAAAATAAAAGTTCAATTCTTGTCACATGCAGGATGTTTCGTTTCCCCTTCCTCTCACTTCGATCGTTTCAGGGCAAATGAAATCATCCATCCATACTGTATTCCTAACGATCTGAAAGGCCCTTTCTCCGAGACTCTGTACGTTAGTGTTGACGAACGGGTTCTCCAAAACTTAATACTGCTGGGCCGGTATTTGACCGATGCAAAGTTATGCAGACGACCATACCTGGACCACCCACAGATCATCACATTCGCCTATTGGGCATCATCTATCATAGTACTCTCCAAATTCACCCATGACACTCACCGAGTATCTAATCCTAACAAGCTATACAGACGAACAAGTAAATTTGAGAACAAGAAGATCTAGGTCTGTTACGCGGTCAGCAGCCTCTTTCGTCAGTGCCACATCTAGAAGACATGATATCGGCCGAAGATAACCTTCAAGGGCAACAGGTTGATTGGAAATCAAAAGCAGATCGTCTTACGGACTATCTCAATTCTTCTCAACTCCAACAACCGTTCCAAAACCGAAGGTCTTGCCCGAGCTGCGTATGACAACATGGCCGAGGTCCTCGTAGTCAGAATGACGCTCGACACAGATTGGGTTGATGGGAGTCATCTTGACAACGGCAGCATGCCCTGGATGGACGACCGAGGGCTGATCTTCGATTATTTCGTCGGTACGGCGATCCATGCTCCGGATAGTCTCGAGCGTGCACTCAGCGTGTGCTGTATGACAGTACACAGTGAAAGTATCACCATTGTTGATTGGGCCGCGGGCGATGAGCCGCACCTCAAAGGATTCGCAGCTCGTGGCGGGATCATTGTCCGAGTCACTGGCAACATCACCGCGGCTGACTGGTCCGTTATCCCCAATACTAAAACACACGATCTCCCCTTCCCGTGCTTTTTCGGCTTCCCAGTGGTGCTTCTCGATGGATACAACCTCCGCTGTGACACAACTCGGAGCGAGGGTGATGGACATTCCGATGGAGAGAGTGCCAGCTTGCACGCAGCCCACCGCAACGGTACCGACATCGGCGATCTCATGGACTTTGTGGATCGGCAAACGGAGGGGCTTGGCGCTTGTGCGAGCACGAGGCTGCATGACATCTATTGCATCAATAGGGTTCTTACCCTTCACGCATCCATTCGGTCTATCGATTACAAATTGTTTGTGCCAGGGAAGATGGACGCTTTCTTCGAGCAAGTTGTCACCGGTCGACCCAGAGATGGGTATGAAGGGGATAGCCCGAGGTTCGAACCCAATCTTCCTTAGATAAGTTATCGTTTCAATTCTGATCGCGTTGAACTGGTCTTCACTCCAATCGACGCGATCAATCTTGTTTACTACAACGATGACCTGCCTGATACCGAGCTGAAAGGCGAACATAGCCTGATCACGTAACTTCGGAATGCCGGCGCCAAACTCACTTTGAATCGCGGAAATGACAAGGAGGGCGCAGTCAGAGACCGTTAAACTGTCGATCAGGTTTTCGATGTAGTTGGAGTCACTCGGGGTAGCTAGACCTTTGTTAAACATGCCCACCAATAGTGGGCCTTGGGGCTTACTGATGATATTTACCCTCCGGTTTGGAGTTCCAAATGAGGCATGTTAAGGTTGATAGTGCTGCCCTTTTCCCGCTCCTCCTCTGATTTATCGACAACCCAAGCATATTTGGAGTTACCAGCGCCTTGCTATCGTTGATGTAAGTGATCTTCTGCCTTGAGCGTTAAGCAGCATGCCTAGATGATACCTACCGCTTCGTAATAATTTACGTCCTGGGGTCTGACGCAACCAGACTTGTACAACAAGTTTCCTATTAGGTGGGCCTAGGCTTAGTACATATCGAGGATAGAATAGACCTTCGAAGCTGACCAGCTAAGGTCGACTTGCCAGAATCCCGAGGTCCTATGACGACCAGATTCAAATTAGCCTTGTCCCATGGGGACTGCATTGTTTTAAGAATGAAGTTGGCGGCCGACTCGCACAATGCGGAAGAGATTTGGTTGAAATACAACGCAAAAGGAGCGGTGGGCTGTTCGTATGTGTCCAACAGTTGACCTACTCTTCGCGCTATTCTTGGGTCGATCTTTACTGCATACATACATGTAGCTGAGGGGCTACAGCTCTGGCTCGCAAGATCAGCCTCTAATGTGATCAATTAAATTGAAGGAACTGTGACGTAGTCTCCTGTAGCGTGTTCAGCTCTGATGTGGAGCTGAAAACGACATGACGGTGGAGGAATCTCCATTATTCACTGAGGCATCATTAGCTCAGAAACACAGGTCGCGTAACCTCGCCTTTAAGGACTCCTCCAGTTCGTCATAGATAAGAAAACTGTCCCATACAACATACTCAGCGGACTTCCACCTCCATTCCACCTTTCCCTCCGAACACGCTATGTAGGAGCACTTCATTGGATGAAAGAGCTGATTATTAGTTCTGGTACGAACCCCGTAGTTCGGTTGTTTATGTTCGGTGACAAAATTGGCACGCTTTCTATTGATGCGATCTAGTGGATATAGGACGCCCGGCCATGCTGCGACCAATCAATCAACATAGTTTACGGAAGAACTGATCTGCAGCTGAACAGTAGCTGGCTTAAAGCGGCTGGCTGAAAGTTGTAGATCACTTTAAGACTCTTTCTTCACGAGGAACTCATATACTGCCTATACCCCGCAAGTACTTTAGGACGTCTCTCATCGATTCATTGAAATCCCTGAAATTCACAACTATCAGTCCAAAATTTATATACACCCTTCTCGCAAAACTCTCACAAAAGTTAGTTGCCCTACGCCTAAGGCCTATCCACCATGCTGATGCCCCGCTAGATGCCTATCGCACAAGGCTTTATCCGTTGTAATTAGCAAACTTTGGTCTGCCAATTTTTCATCGACGAGATATTATTCAATTTCGATTTTAAACCATCGCCCTCCCTCCCCGGCTTTATGGCTTCTGAAGTACAGATCAACTATTCTGGTACCGACGAACTGACTTCTACCTGCGATGCCAGTGGAATGATTGCAAGCGGCAAGCTGAATCTCACTTTGTCCAATGGGGTTACTATTACTGCGAAGGTCGACCCTTCTGTCGAGGCTGCTCGATTCCAAGGGAAGGGCACGTGGAGATATTAAGGTCAGGCTAATCGACCGTTTACACCTACTATATATTTCTGTATAGTATCGGTCACTTCAGAATACCCGTGTCGTCATATGACAATACTAGCCCTGGCACTATAAGAATCGTATCAACAGTGATCTCCACATATTTCTTCAACTAGTCTCGTCAATTGATTCCCTTGGCACTAGTGCAACGGATATCCCGCGATCCGACACCTTTTCATAATACTAAAGGCCCTATAACAGGGAGTTAAGGAGAACTCACCTTGCCTATGGCTCGCTTAAATAGATATTCCCCTGCTTTGTCTTGTGGTCTACAATTCCTGACATGTTGTTTTAGCGTAGATCAACCTCCTTTGGTTGCCTTCCGAATATCGACCAGCTTATTCCTTTCTTTTTGCTATGTCTACAATAAATTTGGCGATCGATTGTTCGTCTGTTCTAGTTATATTTCTCTCGCCTACAGAACCGAGTCCCATCCCTCGCCTTTACTAAATGTTTATATTGCTTCAGATTCCTGTGCCTTTCCTATACACGTCTTGCTTTGAATAGACTATACGCTTGTGCTCAGAATCACCTTTACCAGAAAGAAGTGGTAAGACTGTATAAATCCTAAACCGAGACTACCTAGAACCAGACTAATCAGACTTTTTTTAGATCAGCGTACGCCGTTACGAATATGTACATAAACCCAAATCCTTGTGGGCACCATGAAAGTCGCTAAGCCTAGTACATATATATGTATATAAATACTCCGCAGTCTCACACTAATCGCCCCTCTTGTTCCCAGTCCTAGGAGACATACTAGTGCCGAGCCGGTGGGGTCGATCACACCGGCTATGCCACATCTCCTGCATGAACCGAAGACATGGCGTGGATCCTGTGCTGCGAGTGGTATCATTCGCTGGAATGGGTATATAACCGGCTCTGATGCTTCTAGAAAGACAGGTGGAGCCGTGTAAATAAATAATATATGTGTAGCGTTAAAGTATCTTTTCGCCAACAGTTTCCCAAAATACTGGCGTATATCTCCACCCCAATGAAAGAGTTATGTATACTACGCAGAAAAGCGTTACTTGTTGCCTCGAGTATTCCAACCAAAAAGCATACTAGTGGGACCAGGAAGCTATAACCCCTGCAGTCAGAACAGGTAGATATAGGAATAGAAATCTGGCTCGGAAGATACTTGCCAAGCAAGTACAATGGCTCGCGCGATACAGTGCTAGAGTTGCCGGACAACGACCGAATTGCAAGCAAAATGCATCCACTATTTAATAGTAAAAGTTTTACATGGAAAATTGATAGGCTTTAAGATTCTTGACGAATACATGGCAAATTAGACAGGAATAGAAATACGTGTAATCTACTATAATTATAGCTATAATTTGTAGACTCATTCATTAATAAATACCCTTGGAATGTCTAGTGCTTCAACTTTCTTCGGTGAGTTGTGGAATGTTCTAGCCCGATGCAAATGTCCAGTGGCTGCTCGGGTAGTATTTTGGAGTTGAGAGGAGGAAGAAGAAGAAGAAGAAGAAGAAGAAGAAGAAGAAGAAGAAGAAGGGGGTAAAAATAGAGAGAAACCCCGTTATGGGGAGGGTTTGGTGGTGAAGAGAAGGAGGCAGGAGAGGGAAGAGAAAGCAGAAAGGGAATACAGTCGATCGCGAAATCAGCTTCCGCCATAAACATTGCTTTTCTATTTTCAAGCCCCACTGCCAAGACGCTGGTGCAATAAATTAATTTGACAGCCACCTATCTACAGATAGATGCTCTAGGTATCGTCTGGTGTTTGGAAATAGAATTACGGTTTTAATGTTACTATACTTTATCTATAGCAATGGCAAGCAAAATAAAGAATTGAGTGAAGAGTGCTGAGTTAGAAGATGGGTTTTGTCCCTCGATCCGCTCAGGCGTAGCTTAAACTCTGGCTTTGACACGAGTGCAGTAACTATCTAGATGGTGGTTTTCGAAGGCCAAGATGCTTCTCTCGTAGTCATTTGATCTGATTTCTTTCCTCAATTTCTACGAACTACAAATAACTTTTTGTTGCCCATTGGATTAACCCAACAAAATTCCCGACCAAATCGCCATTCTGTCGCTGTAAATCCTGATTTCCCGGGCCGTTAAAATGTTGCCACCTTCCCAACTGGCCCTGCATTATTGACTTTCCCTCCCTCTTCATACTATTCCCGTACAAGTCGCCAGTGTGTCCTGATAAATACTGATCTTCCGGCCGCTAAAGTCCTTTTACCCCCCCGACAGATTCCCCACTCACGTGAGTTTTCCCCATACAATTGCGGGACAATGTACCTCTTGCCGTCGTAGCTTCAAGTTGGTCAACGACCTAGTTGAGCTCCCCCCTCATGCCCCAGACCTAACGCTACATATTTGCACTTTTTGCGGTAGCCCTTTGATCAATTCCTGCTGCTTTTCATGTTTCGTAACATTCTTTCCCTGTTGTTCCGTGCTGCCCAGATCCCTAATGTACTCACATTGCTAAGGCACGTTAATCAAATCGAAAAAGGAGACGACAGGCTTTCCGTCGGACGTGATTTCACCTCCACGCTGCTGGTCGTCTTCAGGGAACCCCGTTGCAAACGCTCGGAGACGGTTCCCGTTATAGCCTAATAGTGTGGCTCCGTTACAACCGCCCGCTTCTCCAAAAGCGTGGACAGCAATAGCACTGAGCGATGTCCCCGAATTGTCAGTCACTCCTCCCTGGAGCAGCACGGGACTTCCCGAGTTTCCTAAGGTTGTTTAGTACCATCGAATTCTGCGCTATACATGGGGATTGGGCGTTGTGCTTGTACTTACCTGGGGCAGTATCAGCACGATATCTCAGACCTTTTTCCGGGTATTCAAAGGTCGTGTTCCAATTGCTTTGGTACATGACTTTTCCCGCCGTGTTCTTAGACTCCCTGGACAAAGGCGGTACGTCACTTGGATATCCAACTATACATAGGTTCTCGCCGTTGAGTGTGGGAGTAGGATTCTTAACGTTAAACGGCTTTCCCGTAGTAAAGGACTTTTCGAGACGTATAACCGCTATGTCGCACCGACTATCCTGAATTTCGTACCAGGACCTATGGACGATGATCCCAGTCCCTTTTCTTCGCTCAGAGTGCCCCGATGGATTATATCCAAGATAAACGTCGATGTCGACGGCATAAGTTTCGCCGTATTCGTCGTCCGTTTTACTGTCGTTACTAAAAACGCAATGCCCTGCGGTAACGACGGTAGTATCGTTATAGAGCCAGCCGCTCGCTTCGCCGATTACTGCTGGCTGAGGCGATTTATTCCACTTAGATGAGTAATACTTTATCTCCAACTTGCAGACGGCTGCCATGTGAGTTAGCTAGCGCTAATCATATAAAAAGGCATAAGAAGCCTATTCTTACCACTGTATTTGCCTCCGAGGGCGTAGTCCGTTTCCTCAACCTTGATTTGCGGATTGTTGAGGTGACGGTTACGTGCTTCAAGTTGCCGCACTTGCCGCCCTAGCTTCAGCTCTCGCTGAATACTCTGTTTTCCCCGCTTTGCTGGCCCTGCTTTCCAGTAGACAACATAGGGTTTTTTGCTCGAAGTCCAGCAACGGTGGTGGGATCTTGGACTTCATAAATCCTACACTATGCTTGACCAGCTTGGTGTAGAACTTTTCTTCAGAAGGCGTCCCAGTCCATATGACGTCCTGGAATGAGAATTTCTTATCATGCATCAGATCTTTTTCCTGAAAATATGTCAGAAGTTCGCTGATGGTTTCAAAGAGATTTTGGCGTTTCTGTGGGTCCTGGATGAGTTCCTAAAGATCCTTGTATTAGAATCAACCAGGACTAACCGAAATAGATGAGGTATACTTACGTCAATTGACTTGATATCCCGCGTAGGAGTAGCACCATTTTCTGGCCGAAGTTCTTCCATTAATCGACGGTAGTTGGTATTGAACTGTTGATGCTTATCCCTTATCAAGAGCCTTCGCAACCGCCTCTTAGGCTTTTTGATGCTAATCTCCCGCATCAGACGTACAACCGATGTATCGACGAAATCCCGACTGTCAATGAATCCGTCGTAATCAGACCCGAGTTCCGACTTCAAGGCCCCTTCGGTGGACATTTTTGCTCTCGAGCTTGTGTCTCTCATTGAACGATTTGAAAGATCTGTTTGCAGTTGAACATGGTCGATATACGCGGTGGCCAATTCGTGAAGAGTATCGGCAGGATCCAGAGCGGTATTGATATCCTCACGTCTGTGTCTGTCTTGAATCTGTATATCCCTTGTCAAGACGTAAAGCTGAACCAAGGCTGCACCGAGAACAGCGGCATGGTAGTTCCCACTTTCGTCCGTTGGGAGTACCCGACGCGTTTTAATCCCCTCACCCTGCTGGGTTATGTGTGTTTCCATTAGGAACGCGACAACATATGCTCTGTGCTTCTGCGCCAAACCTACGATCAAGTAGGAGGGAATATAGTGTCGACAGTTTACAGGTTTAAAAGCGTCAGCATATGAGGAGACCACTGTAAGAAGAACTGGACATAGGCTGGGGCCGTCATTCTTGTACTCAGGTATTAATATGTTCGAGGCGTCGTCATATACGGGTAATGGGTATACGGCACTTGAAGTTAAACCGAATTAAACTTCAATTGCAGCATTTCCGCATGCGGCGCTGTATTTCATGCAATACACACGGGTCATCCGATCATGGCCAAGTCTAGGTTAGACCTCGGAGGCAGATCATCTGATGGTTGGAAGGTAGGACTAAACCAGACCATTATATAATCTCTCAGTTAATGTGGAGATCATATCACTTCGAAATCAAAATCGATTCCATGGAAACAAACACACTCCTCGATCTCTGAAGCGTTTATTTAAGTGAAATTCGCCCAGTTGTCTTTACCTATGAAACTGAAATTAGCTAGATACTTGAATGTAGCATTCATTCGTTCTAGGTGCTAAGAATCTAAAGTAAAACTATTAAAATCCAAACCCAACACGTATCAAACGTCCTCAACGCCCAGAATTACTATTCAGTTGCATAAATCGAGTGTGGCATCAGCCATAGTGGGGTAAGGAAGGCAACGATTTGATTCAGCACCGCTGAAACTTACATTATCGTTCTGTTCAAGTCAATCGGATTTCATCATAGTAACCCATTCTTTTATGTCACACAGAAAAGAAAAGCGGGGGCTAGGAAGGAAGCTGTTTTCGCTATCGACTGTAAGATTTGAGTAGATATGAAGGAAAATATAGAGAAGGGATTTAATAGTCTCTCTGCTTTCCTCGATTCTATCCTTTCCTTATGTTTCAAAATCATAGAGTGCCATAATTCATAAAAGAGCGAGCTATATACAAGATACTCAAAATCACACAAGCATCATCCGTTCCATTTCCCATCGTTGACACAACCACCTCACCCCCTAGAATAAAGGCATCTCCGCCATATTCTCATAATCCACATTCCCCTCCACAGACTCAATACGCTCCGCACAAGTCCCAAAAACCCGATCCCACAGTCTCGTCTGCTTGCCATAGTTATGGCTCTTCCGCCAACCCTTCCGGTGATGCAAATCATGGTCCTCGATCACAATCTCCGCACTAAACATCTGCAGCAACCAGTTCAGCGTCGACGGTACACCCGAATGAATCCGCAGTCCACTATGGCCGAACACCTCCGCAAACGCAACGTATTCATGACAAATCCACCACTCGTAGAACCCCATCGGCAAACCAAGTAGTTTCAAACTAAAGTATGTCATCACCGGTACGCCGACCATATCGAAGAATTCCTGCTCGTGATCCGCGTACGCGGCGAGCAGCGGGTTGGGGTGTTTGGTCAGGTGGTGGGTTCGGTGGTATTTCCATAGATAGCTCACGTCGTGCATAAGTCGGTGGTACCAGTAGAACCAGAAGTCGAGGACAATGCCGTATAGTCCGATTTCGAGGGGTAGCCAGAGCCAGGACATCTGCGAGGGTCTTTGGGCTTTGTTGTAGGATAGGAAGATTGAGAGGATTAACCGGGATCCGGTGGTTTTGTATAGCGAGGCTACTACTTTAGCGACGCCGACGTCGGGAACGCCGTCGCGTGCGTGCTTGTCGCCGTCTAAAAAGCCGTATTTGTGACCGAGACGCCGGAGGATGTGCACTTCGTAGATCACTGTCGCGTTGAAGGCGAAGAAGTAGAAGTTGAAGGCGGTGATTGGGCCTATGGTCCGGCCGGTGAATGCCATGTAGGTCTCATGGAGGAGGAGGGGGATGGCTGAGTAGAAGAGAACCCAGCGTTGAAGATACCACTGCGGCATGTATGGCACTTTCTCATCTTTGCTGTGCACTGGTACCTCTTTGTTTAGGTCGATGGGGTGGGCGTTCAGCGCGTCTAGTAGGTAATGACTGATGTTCCATTCGCTGCGAGGGGCTGTGCGCCATGTTGATTGCATAGAATCTTTGGATAGTAGTTTGGAATCCATGATGGATGCTTGAGTTGAATTCTGCGGCCATCTATAACGGCGGCCATTCTGTTTATATCATTCCTATGAAGGCATCGGTCATGGATATCATGTGAATAACTATGTGTCAACTTCCCTATATGGATCAGTTTATCCCAACAGAACCAATACATCAAATTAACAGGAGATGGTAGAGAGTATGCTAATTTGGCGAGGATCGGCATCTGCATGTGAATTCTCCGCAAATTGGAGGGTGGCTGAACCTCGCCTGGACCTTAAAATGGAGTTTGTGGGGTCCATCAGTGAAACCAAAAGGGGAACCATTGCGGTCTGATGTGTGAAGATTGATCTCTACCGAATAGGCGAGAAAGACGTGGGCCAAGATATCGAGTCGAAACCGTGCGCTCGGCTTGAACCTCGGGTATTGCAATTTGACCGCGAAGAGTGGAGCGCCAAAGGATTTCGATTGGCCTTTGTGTTTTTTCTCAATTGTTAGGTCTTATACTAAAGTTTTTAGACGTGAAGTCATGGATCGCCTAATGTAACGCGGGGCACGGGGTAGGGGAAATGCCGGGAGAAAGAGGATCGACTAGTGGTTGATCGTACAAATGAAAGTTCCAAGGTTGGCACACAAAATTAGATGTTACTTACCAATTAGACGGCCCTTTTACCGAAGGGAATATTTCTTAAGTTGATTACCTTAACTATGTGTGAAAGGTACAATCTCCTGTTTTTATGTATGTGCCTGTTTTACCTCATCATTGCGGGGCTGTTATCGCTATGGCTTCATGGATACCTGTTCCATGTGCCTAGAAGTGAAGGTGAAACTCTCATTGAGCTGTATCATTGACAATTGCATTTTGCAGGATCGTTTCGATCCAAACTATTGACGCAGTCATATAGAGGCAACAGATCTAACTATGAGTCTAAGCGTTCGCTGCGACCGGCGCAGAAGTAGCCTCGGGGTGCACAGGAGGCGAAGTAGGAGCAATGGCATCAGTCTTGAGCCCAGGCTTCTCAAAGCTCTTCATGGGGTAGTATCCCCAGCGATCGAACATGACACGGTCCTCATCCCAGCCATTGCAGTCCGTAGTGAGCATCTTCTCACCGGTGAAGACAGCGTTAGCGCCTGCTTGGAAACAAGCAATCTGCTGCTCTTCCGAGAGCGCGATGCGACCGGCAGCCAAGCGGACGATGGTACTGGGCATGACAATACGGGCGGTAGCGACAGTGCGCAGCAAGCGATCGAAGGGGATCATCTTGCGGTCGCCGAGAGGAGTACCGGGGATGGGGACGAGGGCATTGACGGGGAAGGATTCGGGGTGGGCAGGCAGGCTGGAAACTGTGTGCAGGAGACCAATGCGGTCGGCGTCAGTCTCGCCCAGACCAAGGATACCGCCGGAGCAGACGTTGATGCCGGCATCACGCACGTGCGAGAGCGTCTTCAGGCGCTCGTCGTAGGAGCGGGTGGTGATGATGGTAGGGTAGAATTCACGCGAGGTATCGAGGTTGTGGTTGTATGCAGTCAGGCCGGCCTCCTTCAGCTCCTTGGCCTGGTGTTCGTCGATCATGCCTAGGGTCACACAGACCTCCATGTTCATCTCGCGGATTCCGGTGATCATCTGCTTCACGTTCTTCAGACTGGTCTTGCGGCCACGCATGTCGCGCCAAGCCGCGCCCATGCAGAACCGAGTGCTACCATTGGCCTTGGCATTGCGAGCCTTGATGAGGACATCTTCGACGGGGCTCATCTTGGTGGCCTTCAGGCCTGTGTTGTGCTTGGATGACTGGGCACAGTACGAACAATCTTCACTACATCCACCGGTCTTGATGTTCATCAGGGTGCACATCTGGATAGCCGAGGGATCATGAAAGCGGCGGTGGACAGCAGCCTAGAGGGGTCAGTTTAGCTGAAGTTCGGCATCAGGTCATATGGTGAAATCCACTTACCGCCGCGTATGTGAGTTGGCTCAATGGGGTCTCGTAGATCTGCTTGACTTCATCTCGAGTCCAAGTGGTCCGGGGAGCGGTAGCACCCGTAGCATCGGTTAGGGTGATGGGGATGCTGGTCAATGAGGCAGCACTGGGGGAACCCTGGACAGTGCCGTAGGACCGTACCAACGTTCGGGACAATGAGCGAATGGGAAGCGACATGGTGATGGGGTTGAGGAGAGAAGGTAGAGGGGAGAGTATAGCAGGATGACTGGAGAGGGGCAGAGACCCCCGGAGTGATTCACCGGGACAATCGTGTGGAGAAGAAATGCAGTCGGCTCATTGGATTAGGATTTACAGGGGGAAGAAGTTAAAATGGCTGGTTATTTCGTAATTTGGTGATTTGATTCTTCATGTGATATTATTTCCGAGATGGTTGAATACTCTGTTGAGTCATCCCAACATGTTGGATGTTGCCAATTTTCGGGGAGATTGGAATTGACTGGACTCTTATTTGTCCACTGGGGCAGTACCTAGGTAGTCTATATTTTCCCTTTTTGGTCTAGTCCACCACTTAACCTACTTGACCATTTAACGATATAATCACATATATATAAGTAAAAATATATTATTCTCTTTGTGTAGAATTATTTCAAATCTCCTTATTTTCCCTTCTGTGGTAATGCAGAAAGGACCTCCGTGTCCAGCCGTTTGCGTCATCCCTTCAGGGCTCCAGGGTTATCCGAGCTATCCACATTCTCTCCAACCAATGAGATGTCCCCTATAGGAGCCAACTGGGCGCGGTGGGTTAAATGCGGAAATGATAACCTTGGAAGAGATCAACACTTCTGAGATGGTTCTGAACTTCTCAACGATTTATTAATTCATTAATAACAACACAATATAACACTTTCTATCTCAAACTATACGATAGGCATCCAAATCCAACCCTACCGGACTTTCCTGCAATTGCACCCCAATCCAACATACACACAATAATCCAAGCCATGGCCCAAGCAAAATAGACAAGGGTAGAAAGGAAATCCCCGTGAAAAACATCCATCGTGGCATCAAGTCCGTCAATGACCACCGAATGCCCAACTCAAACTTCAAGCGGATCATCGAACCGCTTTTTATATTCCCTGCCCGGTCGTAAAATTGAGTTGAACTAAATTGCATCTTGAAGAGGCTGCAAATCATGATTCCACATTGTAGGATCAACCCGAAGAAGCATGACCATAAATTGATGGGGGTGTATACCTCATGGGGCTCTGTTTGAACAGATATGGACTTGCGACTTTCTATAGGGAGTTTTGAGTTGGGCAGAGTAGGATGAACTACCGTGTGTTTAGTAGGTTCATCACCCTCGATGGTTCGGTCTTGCTGGATATCTGTTGGCGCTTCATAGCTCAAGCTATTCGTTTGATCCGGCTCCCTGCACTCGATGATATGCGTGTCTCTTCGATTTTTGATTGGCTTCAGGGCGACGGGCTCGTCAATAATACCAGAATGATGTTCTTGCGGGCGATCAAGTCTTTGATCAAGTTCTCGATGAGGTTTCCGCAGGGGCTTCTCTCTCTTATTCTTAAATTCCTTCACCATGTTCGTCCATCTAGCATAGGCAGCATCCTGCTCCCCACTGTGCTGCTGATGGACGAGCAAGATTGCGAGATTTTTGATCGCATACTTCAATGGTAGGCCACCTGGTCTGGAGCAATAGATGCAGCACTCAAGTAAGCATAAAGCTTTCCCTTGTCTATCGCGGGATATCGGAGCCCTGCAGTATTGGCCTTTGAGGGTCTTTCCCAGGCAGGGTATCCTTCCGTCTAGGGGGATGACACGGTCATCGAGAACTCGCTTCAAGGGGGTGCAACTGGTAGGGCACGACATCGAGTTGATACAGAGGGGGATAAATATGATGTTGGTCAATGATTGATAGATGGTTTGTCGGACAAGCGCTGAGTGTGCTCTTGGGAGTGACTTGATGGAATCACTTTCAGGTTGGATCAACCTCTTGTTTTATATTGCTAATGGGATCCAATTCCAGGACATGTTCCTGTGAAGCCACAGCTAGAAGCACAGCCACCTGTGAAATGTAGGCAGCAATGTTCCTTAGTAAAGGCGCTTAAAAGGGGAGCTTCAATAGCCGATGAGGCTGTGCTTTGTTGGTTTGATTATCTGATTTTGCTTCACGAAATGAAGCAAACAATAAAACATAAGCAAGCAACCTTAGGTATATATCTGACTTGAATTGTCAGGCACAACAATTCGAGCCAAAGACAAAATCACTCTTTTCCAAGGCAGACTCGAGGTAACAGAAACAAAAAGTACTTTGGCGCCAGCTAGCACCATACCCCTGCTTAGTGTATTGCGAAGCTGCAGTACGTTGTATCCCCGATGCAACAGAATGGTGTTGGGGCAGTGGTCTAAATAAAAGAATCAGAATAATATACCAGCACTGCCTACTACCTCGCCTAGCTCTACATGACGCAAAAAAATCGTCATGGACTTTTCAATCTTGTACATTCCAAAGTTGTCGGGCTATTCATTTAGTTACCACGTGACAGGGACACTTAAGACTAACTTCCCTGGCTTGAGTTCAGAATAAAGTGCGCTCTGTCCAGGATAGGTACCGTTGTGTTTTTACACCAGCGTGCTCATGGAAAGTTGATATTGAACCCCCCCCCCCCCGGGGGGGCGGGGGCAGTCTCAGAAAATAGAACCTGTTTTGGAATCTTTGGAGGGATACGTCCAAAAGGTGGTGATTCATGGTGTGCCCTTGAATTCGGCCATGGAATAGGAAGAGTCACCTTTGATCATTCTTTCAGTGTATATATATACACATAACTGAACAAATAGTCGTTAAGCCCTAACGAAGATAGCGAGATCTTTTGTTGTTTTCTCAGTCTTCTCTAATCGTGCTCTTACTTATATATTTTTGCGAACCTAGTGAGTAAAGCATGACCATAAAGTGATGGAAATTATGAGAAGTGGACATCGACACCCAGATTCAAACAATTGTAGAAACCTATCAGACCCTTTCTCTTCTTTCCTTCTTTCGAGTGACTGGAACGGTTATAGTTAGGAGAAAAAAGCGTGTAATTAGAAGGTAGCCGAGCCAATGGGTACCAGCAAGGGCAAGGGTCTGGACGACTACGCTGAGTATGTTTTGGTTGTCCGTGAACGTGTTGGTACGTGATAATATTTTCATGCCAGACGGAAGTTCTACTAAAAGTATAATCAGACCGCAAGTCCGAGGAGGTGATGCCGTATATAGATATCAAATCGGAAGGTCTACGCAGAGTCCTATGCGAGGTGTTACACGGTATTAAAGCCGTTAGCCTGATAGAAGATAAGCCCTTAGTATCGGGGCTTATAGTTCTTTTCTAAACGGGTTAGAAATTCATGCCATCTAAGGAAAGCCAACCTATAGCATTAGAGTATTTACCGGATTCTGTCACTATGGATATAGGGCTGTAGATTTGAAAATAGTGGCAGTATGTATAACCCCCAAAACCCCTATATAGGAACCCTAGGTCGCGCTACTCGGAGAGTTTCTATTAGAAGCGGGAAGCTACTTTCGCTCTTGGGGATCACGGATTTGACGGGGTTGTGTCCAATGGGCATAAATTGATTAATATCCTCGCGATTGACTACATCCTTAAACTAGTCTTGCTGTTTCATTTCGGCAGCTGGCTGGATTCTTGTGATGTGTTTATTATTATTCGTCCCATCAAGTATCACCCCGAAAGCCATAATCAGGAGCTCTGCTTTGTTTTGAGATAACATGGTACAGACGCTCTTTGTTTCCGAAGTACCTCCCTTGTCCTCTAAGTCCCGTGGCGCGTCTGCTCGAAAGTTTCACCCTAAACGTCCGCTTCGCCCTATTCGATCACCCCACAAACAACGTGAACATTCTATGAGCCCATTTCCTTGCTACAATGCATACCCCGTTCTTTCAGCTTAATCATCATACTGTCCACCGTCTCAGACTTGACCTTTGAGAGGTCTTTCTTCGCTTCGTCTTCTATCTCCTTGAGGCTTTTTTTCTGTTCTTCCTCGGAATGTTCCTTAAGAGGCTCTTTCATGAGAACTTTGTCCACTATACATGGACACTCAAGACCAACATCTCAACTTCCTTTCGTACACTTTCCAGACTCTTTTCGAGGGGAGGGAATAATTGTCGAATTTACAAAAAGAACGAATTAACGAATGAATTTCCCCTTAGGAAATCGAGCCATATCTGAGTTGCGAAGAGTACGAGCTGATCCATGGCACAAAATTGTCAATCAAGCCATGTTTTAGCGAGCGAAGATGCAAGTTAAGTGCTCGAGCTATGATCGTTCTTTTCTCGGTATCCAAGTGGGAGGAAACTTCCACAGGAGATCTCCTATTCTGGTAGGTCTGTGGCTTGAGTTCAGAATACTGGTGCGCTCTGTTCAAAGTTTTTCTGCTTGAGTGTAGTCTCGAAGACATAGTTTGCTCTGTCCAGGATAGGTACCTTTGTGTTTTTACACCAGAGTACTCATGGAAAGTTGATATTGTACCGCCTGAGCAGCATCAGAAAATAGAGGCTGTTTTGGAATTTTTGGAGGAATACGTCCAGAACGAAGTTGGTGATTCATGGAGTGCCCATGAACTTCGGCCATGGAATTAGGAAGAGTCACTTTTGATCATTCTTTTGGTATATATACACGTAACTGAGCAGATAGTCATTTAGCCCTAACGAAGATAGCGAGATCTTTTGTTGTTTTCTCAGTCTTCTCTAATCGTGCTCTTACATATTATTGCGAACCTAGTGAGTATTTACTCCAAATTTCTGAACTATACTAGCCCATATATTTTTACATCCGGAAAATAATTATCACATCGTGAAGTTGTTGATCATGCTTGGCAGGGCAAGCAATCTCGTGTTTTCTATTTATGTTGTACCCCTTTTTAGGTTAGACCCTGCCGATCGCCCATGAGGCTCGTATAGAACGAGGCCAAGAATGAAGAAACGAGACTATTTTTGGCAGCGTACCTGGAGATTTCGGCCCCAGATCGTATTCACCTCGGACATTTCATAGAGGCGATCGTTTTTGCAGGAATGATCTTCGAAAGCAAACCGCATCTTCCTCGTATTATAAGAAAACGAGTTCAAGAAAGCCTAATTACGAGCCCATTGCGGATGAGGATTGAACCTCGCACCAATTTTAGACAAATTCTCCTCGGCGATGACCCTGCTAGTTGGTGCTCAATCCTACCGTGATCAGTACCTGGTAAAGATCAACACATCAGCCAAGGTATAAGTATCCAGGTCCAGCCTGCCTGATGCACAACATTCTAATTACAAGTATCAAGCCATTCAAAGTTTTGACCCTTTTTCGTTTCAATTTGGATTCCTATCCTCGAACGCCTCATCGAAAGGAAGTGCAGTCCTCAGAAATAATCACCAATACCCAGAATTTACCTAGCTGCCCTTATTCGCCATTATGCAGCTCATGAACCTGGCTCTGACCCTAGCTGCGGCTTTCTCCATGGCCAATGCGTACGCCATTACTGGCAGCGAAGTCAACTGTCGCACCGGTGCCTCGACAAAGGACGCCGTTGTCACGACATACCACAAGGGTGACGATGTCAAGATCTCATGCCAGACTTATGGCGAAGACGTTAATGGGAACTCCATCTGGGACAAGACATCTGACGGCTGCTACGTTACCGACTACTACGTGAAGACCGGCTCAAGCAGCATGGTCACCAAGGACTGTGGCGGTGGCAGCTCTGGCGGCGGCTCATCCTACAAGGGCCAGATCAGCCGCAAGGAGATCATCTCCCGTGGTCAGTTCTGGGTCTCACGCCACATCCCATACTCTATGAACGACCAATACCCGGACCCTCAAGGCCGCAAATACCGCACAGACTGCTCAGGCTTCGTTAGCATGGCTCTCCATGCGTCTGCGCCAGGCGCCAACACCGTCAGTCTCCCGGATATTGCGAAGCCTATCGCTTGGAAGGACCTACAGCCTGGTGACTTTGTTGGCACCCTAGGCGCTGGTACTGGCGGTGCTGCCGGTCACGTCACTCTGTTCCATTCGTGGGCCGACAGTTCCAAGAAGGAGTACAATACGCTTGAGTGCCGGGGTACCTACGGCTGCGTCGCGTACAAGCGCCCTGTTAGTTGGAAGGTTGGCAGTTTCACGGCCAAGCCCTACAGATACATCAATGTTGTGGACTAAGTCAGAGCTTGCAGAATTTTGGGGTCGAATAGGGATGGGGCTGATTTTTGGGTACATGCATAGAACTTGTGACGGGTGCGGCGGTTGAGCAAGTGGAGGGATAGGAATAGCTTCAGATAAATCCCCGAGAGGATCAGATCGGTAGAAAGCGAAGGGAAATTGAATTTCGATTACTCTCAAAACTTTCTGAGGGAACAAAGATGAGTCAAACTTTTAACGAGAGCAATAACTCTAAGGTATCAAATGAAACCTGTAGTTAGGGTAATTTTCCAAGGTACGATATCAACATTTCATCAGGTCAGCTTTTTGAGGCGAGATTCAATCGTTTGAAAGGAAGTCTCAAGTCGTATTCCCTGCCGATCACATTTTGGACCCATCACGGTGTGCGTGCAACACCGGGGCCACGCGCTAAGTACTGGGCCTAATGCTAGGCCTAACAACCCCTTTAGGTTGTTAAGCCGCACTAATCATAATTCAGTCCCTGAGATGGTCAACCGGTCAACTACACCAAGGAGCGGTAAATTTGTGTGTCGCCAGTTCATGGAATTGAATGACTATAGCACATTCAAAATAATAATAATAATATACTATGATGCTCAAACCTGAAGTATGCGCCCGCGCTCCTGCAACCTCCAATCATCTTCGATCGGAGCATAAATGGCTTGATATCATCTCCCAACTCACTCTCTCCTTGCGTAGACTACATTTTTGGCCATCGTGGGAAATTAGCGGCAAAGTACGTACAAACTAAAATCAAATATGATAAAATGATGATTTTTATGCATATATGCAACCGAGGCCAGGATTATTATTAGCCTCCCCCGCATTTCTTTGGGGAATTCTCCATTTCTGGGGAACCAGTGCCGAGGTCAACGGTAATCACTGAAATCCCCTCATTTCTTATACTTATACTGTTAATGTGATTACTCCCTTGATTACTTGTATACCAAAACAAGGTCAGATTGCGAAGATGGATATAGGTGCGTGGTGAAACGATGATCACAATTGATCTTACTGAGAAATGATAGGAACCGCCGCCGCTGCTCTCGTCGGAGGAGCTACTGTTGCAGGATATTTGAATGCCAAATTCCATATTCAAAAGGATATTTCAGGGTTGGTCTCAATGAAGCATGCAGAACGACAATATGCCAATGCCGGTATGTTTACATACTATTTCTACAATTGCAAACCGTATACTGATCAGCCTTTAGTCAGTCAAAACCAAGGGAATCCATGGTTTGTCTTACTGCAGACAGTGAAGCAATACCCCAACATGATCTGTCTTTGGACTCGGGAGAGATCATACACCTACCGAGAACTCCAAGACCAAGCCTGCCAATATGCCCATTTCTTCCTATCACAGGGCGTCAAGAAAGGCGACCTTGTTGCCCTTTACCTCCAGAACAGCAACGAGTACATCGTCGCATGGGTCGCCCTCTGGAGCATTGGCTGTGCTCCCGCCGCCATAAATTACAATCTCACCGGCGACGCATTGCTGCACTGTTTGAAAATCAGCGGCGCGACCATTCTCCTCGTCGACGAAGATGCCGACTGTCGCGCCCGCGTCGAAGAAAGCCACGATGCCATCACACGCAATCTGGGAATGAAGCTAATGACACTGGACAGCTCCCTAAAGGCGCATATCAGCACCTTCCCGACAGCCCTCCCACCCAAGGAATTGAGCAAACATGTCACCGGCGACTTCCCGGCGATTCTCCTATACACTTCTGGCACCACGGGTATGCCCAAGGGCTGTGCATTTACAATGTCCAGGCTCTATACCACTCTCTTCATTCGCCGTGCGATGATGGGAGATACGCCCGGCCCAGCCGGTGATCGCTGGTACAGCTGCATGCCCTTGTATCACGGCACGGCAGCCATTGCTATGATCGCGTGTCTCGTAATGGGTATGAGCATCGCCATCGCACCCAAGTTCAGCGTCAGTAGATTCTGGACAGATGTCCGCGACTCTGAGTCGACTATTTTCGTGTATGTCGGAGAGACTGCGCGGTATCTGCTCGCGCCGCCTCCATCGCCTCAAGATCGAAACCACAAGGTCCGCTGTATGTACGGTAACGGTCTGCGGCCGGATATCTGGGAGCGGTTCCGTGAGCGGTTTGGAGTCGCGGAAGTTGGGGAGTTCTTTAATAGCACAGAGGGTGTCTTTGGTCTCTTCAACTACAATCGCGGTCCTTTCACATCCGGCAGTGTCGGTCACCATGGTTTGATCATGCGGGGTATACTGCATAACGTCTTTATTCCTGTTGCCATTGACCCAGAGACTGGAGATATTCTGCGGGACTCTAAGACTGGCTTTGCAGTTCGCTCACCTTATGACCAGGGAGGTGAAATTATCGTCAACGTTCCCGGTGAAGATGCTTTCCAGGGGTATTGGCACAATGATGAGGCAACCAATAAGAAATTCTTACGTGATGTCTTCAAGAAGGGGGATCTCTATTATCGATCTGGTGACGCTTTGCGTCGGCAGAGCGATGGCCGGTGGTATTTCCTCGACCGACTTGGGGACACTTTCCGCTGGAAGAGTGAGAACGTGTAAGTTGGATAGCACCCAGATATGTGCCGGAAATTCTGGAAGCAAGGCTAATAATAGTTTCAATGCAATAGAGCAACCGCCGAGGTTTCAGAGGTCCTAGGCCAATTCCCCGGCATCACCGAAGCCAACGTCTACGGCGTCCGTCTTCCCAACCACGAAGGACGCGCCGGATGTGCAGCGATTCAAATTAGCCCGGATGCCCGTCAGACATTTGACTACACAGCGCTTGCGAAATTCATACGCTCCAAGCTGCCTAAATATGCTGTTCCACTATTCCTTCGCATCGTCGAGAATCCCACTCACATTCACAACCATAAGCAGAACAAGGTGCCACTTCGTGATGAGGGTGTTGATACTGCCTTGGTTGGGACTAAAGCCCCTGAGGGTAAAGATGACCAGTTCTTGTGGATTGCACCTGGTAACGAGAGTTATTCACCGTATGGACAGAAAGAGTGGGAGCAATTGTCGACTGGGAGTGTTCGGTTGTGAGCTGCCTGATCATTCAGATTCTCAATATGTAGGTAGGATCATATCTTCGCTATACGTTTTTAAAGCGTAGCAATTTTATGTTATTTCGATGTTTGACCAGACGTCGACAATATACACATATCAGCATCTATTCATCATGACCTTCCTAGTATGAAGTTCTAGACGTTTTACCCCTATCTTCCCCTATACCTTGACTTAAAATCTTAAAGTTATCTGAAAGGGATCTGAAAGTGTTGAACGTCATGCAAAGACGACTCGCTCAAAATTGAGGTCGAATTGATCAGACTTTGCAAAGGCAAGTAGTCTATGGAGGTAATTCTGTCTAGTCGCATGAGATAAATAGGAGAGCAAAAGTGAAAGCAGGTTCTGCAAGGAAGAACCAAACGAAAATAAAAGGGCAGGAAAGCTCGCTTCACATCAAATTCATCATTTGAACCGTCGAGGGCAAAGGGTTTTGGGTCGCACCAGGCAACATATTGGCATCTATTTCTTGAGCAGGCCCAAGAGGTTGATGCTCTTAGGGCGCTCAATGGGCATGCCAAGAACGCGATCCCAGATCAGCTGGGACAGGGGGCCAAGAGCACGGCTGACACCGAAAGCGACGGTGTAGTAAAGGGGCTGTTGGAAACCAAAGTGGTGGAAGAGAACGCCACTGGCCGCATCGACGTTGGGGTATGGGTTCTTGGTCTGTAGAAAAGGAAAAAGGCATTAGTTGGGAACGGTATTGTGATACTAGGCTGCTATTGGACATACCTTTCCGTGTTCAGTAAGCACACCAGGAGCGATCTCCGAGTTTTTCTTGACCAACTGGAATACCGGGTTGGCCAGAACGTCGGGCCGGGTGGCGGCAAAGTCCATCAGGGCCTCGAAACGAGGGTCGGGCTTGCGCAGAACGCCGTGACCATATCCAGGGACCACACGACCCGACTTGAGGGTATCCCAGAGATAGGCCCGGACATCCTCATCTGTGAACTTGGTTCCGATCTTTTCCTGCATGGCATTCACCCAGCGGAGAACTTCCTGGGCTGCCAGGCCGTGGAGTGGGCCAGCCAGGCCCAGAAGACCAGCGCTGTAGCTCAGGAAGGGGTCGCTCAGGGCGCTTCCGACGAGGTGAGTCGCGTGGGCTGACACGTTACCACCTTCATGGTCACCGTGCAGAGCTAGGTAAAGACGGAGCAGGTCGTGGAAGTCAGCATGCTCTGAGCCACCCTTGCCCAGCAGCTCTGCGAAATTGTGCGACCAATCCTGCGCAGCGTCCAGCTTCTGGTTACCAACGAGATCGATGTCATTGGGGCGGAAGACAAGTGCTGCCACGCGAGGAATCTTGGCAAGGAGGGAGATGCTGTCGTCAAAGGTGGGCTCCCAGTAGTCCGCCTTGTTGATGCCATTCTCATATGCCTTGGCGAACTTGGATTCGGTGTTCAGGGCTGCGACAGCAATGGATAGCTGAGTCATAGGGTGCATTGTGGCGGGGAATGACTTGATCAGATCCAGAATGTAGGGGGGAAGTTCAGACTTCTCGGCCAGCTCGCGCGAAAAGGCACGAACCTGCCCTGTCGAGGGCACCTGGCCCGTCAGCAACAGCCAGAACATGGCCTCGGGAAGCATTTCGGTTCCAGTTGTGCCCTTGGGTAGCTCCTTCTGGCAGTCCTTGATTGTCTTGCCGTGGAAGCGGATTCCCTCATCCGCGTCCAGGACGGAGCCCTCCCAGAGCATCGCCTTGAGGCCACGCATACCACCAATGACATTTCCGACCTTAACATCACCGATCACATCATCACTCTGTGCCTTGACCTTCTTAAGTAGCTCCCGCTTAGCCGGGATGACCTCCTTCAAGGTGGTCTTCAAGTCGGGCTCAGCGGTCGCATAATGACGTGCCGAGAGGACAGGTCGTGCTGCCTATAAATAATTAGAGAACGTGAAAAACTAGGTAATAAGAGGAATCATCGTCAAACTCACCTGGGCAATCTTAGAGACATGGCGGGTTGATCTCCAGCTGAGGGCCATTTTGTATTGTGTGTGATGGAGTCCGGGGGTGGATTTGCGGGGGCGGAGTTGAATTGCGGGGATGAAAGAGGATGAAAGAGGATCAAGCTGAACAAACAGCAATTGAGTGAATCTCTGGAATTGACCGTGAGGATAAATGTACAGAAAGAAGAGAAAGAAATAGTCGGACTTAATGATCGACTTGGCCGAATGCAGGTCGGTTGGACGCGGGGCACAGGGGTTGTCTACCGAGGCCCGTGGCCATGCGGCCATGTCGGCTGAGATCAGCTACGTTGGACATTGGACAAGGACTGAAATGTACGGACAAAACGGATATCAGGACATCTCGGTTATTTGATAATTTCACTATAGTCTACAGAGTAGTGGTAGAAATCATTTATATCTTTCCATTGGCATCCCCAGTATACAGTATCTACTAACATACTTGGTGAAGGCTGGCCTCGGACCTGCATTTCGGGTTGATGGAGATAAGCCCAGGGTGGATTTTGTTCCTGTCAGATCCGCCTCGGGGGTTGCCAGGCTGAAAAAGAACATCCATTTACCCGTTCAGAAATATCGGTCTACCTGTGATATGTCGCGACGCAGAAACTCTACGCCTCAGGCAGAACGTACGACTGTGAGTTGCTGCCCAAGGCAGAAAGAAAGTTCAGACCTTCAGGCACCAAGGCATCGGGGTCACTGATCCAATCAGACAAATCCGGTTAGACGCGTTTTTGTCCCATGGCGTCGCCGGGCCCGCTGATTGGATGAGTAAGCAAAAAAAAAAATTCGGTCGTCGGTGGGTCAGCAATCAGCGAAGGCGAAGATTGTTTTTACTTCTTGTTAGACCACTCTCCCCTCTTTGTGTTTCTTTTTTTCGTTGTGTTTCGGGTCTTCTGGGTTTCTGAGAATCGTGTTGTACATACTCTACGATTCAATCCCGATCCTACTCATCTGTTTGTGTGCGCAACTTGCGCTGTGAACAGTTTCTTTATCTTCCGTTAGGTCGAATTGCCCCTCTCTTCCCAAGGGCTTCACTTCTCTGTCATTTTTTTCCGATATCTCTCTTTGATATCGACACTCGATCTCGACTCTTTGCTTCTCTGGAAAATGCCCCACACTGTCTCCCCCTCTGAGACTCCCGCCATGCCGACCATCGTCGCAAAGGGCCCCTCCGGCGTGCCCCCCACCTCCGAGGAGATTTCCTCCCTCCTCGACACTATCTTCACATCCGACTCATCCCAGAAGTCTCTTGATGGCGCATATGCCTTGACCAACCTGCTCATGCAGGGTGCTGGCTGTGCAGGCCTGCTGAACTACAATGTTCTCGCCAATGTCCGCAAGGCTGCCTCTGATAAGAAGAATGGCGCCAAGCGCGAGAGTGCCATGCTCATTATTGGTGCTTTGTTCGAGCGCTTCCCTCGAGAGTTCCCTCTCAGTGAAGCCGTTTTCCTCTTGCACGACGGAGGCATCTTTGACATTGCTCTGGATGCCCTCTCTGACAAGGGTGCCGTCGTGCGTGATGCTGCCCAGTACGCCATCGATGCGCTCTTCGGTTGTCTCAGCCCCGAGGCCATGGTCAACGGTCTGATCCCCGCTCTCGAGCGCTACCTGGCCAAGGGCTCTGGCAAGTGGCAAGGCTTTGTCGGCGCCTACTCACTTATTGAAAAGATGGCGGTCAAGGCACAGTTGGGCAAGGGTAGCAAGGACGAGGAGCGCCAGAAGGACTTGCTGCGCGATGCGATGGGCAAGACCCTGAAGGAGCTCATCCCCATCGTTGAGTCCGGCATGCACGACCTGAAGAGCGAAGTGACCAAGCAGTCTTGCAAGACCATGACTGCCCTCACCACCCTCCTGTCCAACGACGACGTTGCCCCCCGCATCCCTCTTCTGATGAAGACTATGGAGAACCCCTCTGCGCAGACTCTCCAGAAGGCGATCCATGCTTTGTCGCAGACCACCTTCGTCGCCATTGTCACATCCCCCGTGTTGGCCATGCTCACCCCTCTGCTCGCCCGATCCCTCAATACCCCGGCTACTCCCCAGGAAACCCTTCGCCAGACTGTCGTCGTTGTGGAGAATTTGACCAAGCTGGTCCACGATCCCGCCGAGGCCCGTACATTCCTCCCCAGGCTCCAGCCTGGTGTGAAGTCGGTCAAGGAGACTGCCTCCCTGCCCGAGGTTCGTGAGCTCGCCACACGCGCTCTCGACGTCATCGAGACTGCCATGGGAGACAGTCACCTTGCCTCTGGTTCCATCTCCAAGACTACCCCCGAGGATGTCTTGGCCGTGCTGAATGCAAAGATTCAGGAGCACGGTGGTCTGGGTGGCTTTGGTGACTCTAAGCTGCAGGATTTGGCCAAGAACTTCATTGCCAGTATGGTCCGCGAAGATATCAACTGCCGCATGCACGACCGTATCCCCGGCCGCATTGACCCATACCTCCGCGGTCTGCTTGCGGATGGCAACACAGAGGCCGTTGCCACTGCTGTCATGACCCACTACATTGCAGAGGATGAGATCAAGTTCGGCAAGCCCGTCCCTGAAGACCCGAATGATATTGAGATCGTCAACGCCGACTTCTCTCTTGCTTACGGAGGTATGCTCCTGCTCTCCCACACCAACCTGCGTCTCCTCAAGGGCCACCGTTACGGTCTCTGCGGTCGCAACGGTGCCGGCAAGTCTACCCTGATGCGCAGTATCGCCAACGAGAAGCTGGAAGGCTTCCCTCCCCAGGATGAGGTGCGCACTTGCTTCGTGGAGCACAACCAGGGTGAAGACGCCAACCTGACCATCCTTGAGTATGTTGCCAAGGATCCCAAGATTGTCTCTCAGGGTATGGAACACATTTGCGAGGTTCTCCTCGAGTTCGGCTTCACCGATGGCCCCGAGGGCCGCCAGTCCCAGCCCGTGGGCTCGCTGTCCGGTGGTTGGAAGATGAAGCTGGCTTTGGCCCGTGCTATGCTCCAGAAGGCTGATGTTCTCCTGCTGGACGAACCTACTAACCACTTGGATGTGGCAAACGTCAAGTGGCTGCAGGAGTACCTGCGGTCGCACACTGAGATCACCAGTCTGATTGTCAGTCACGACTCTGGTTTCCTCGATGAAGTCTGCACGGATATCTACCACTACGAGGGCAAGAAGCTCGTCTGCTACAAGGGTAACCTTGCCGAATTCGTCAAGCAGAAGCCCGAGGGCAAGAGTTATTACACTCTGTCCGCATCCAATGTGCAGTTCAAGTTCCCCCCCCCGGTATCTTGTCTGGCATCAAGTCCATGACTCGTGCCATTATGCGCATGAGCAACGTCTCTTACACCTACCCGGGCGCTCCCCGCCCCTCGCTGCACGATGCCTCGCTGTCGCTTACACTCTCCTCCCGTGTTGCTATCATTGGTGGAAATGGTGCCGGAAAGTCTACTTTCATCAAGATTCTGACTGGTGAGACCATTCCTCAGGGCGGAAAGGTGGAGAAGCACCCCAACTTGCGTATCGGTTACATCAAGCAACACGCTCTGGAGCACGTGGAGATGCATTTGGAGAAGACTCCCAGCCAGTACCTCCAGTGGCGTTACGCCAACGGTGACGATCGTGAAGTGTTCATGAAGCAGACCCGTATTCTGACTGAGGAGGACAAACTTCAGCTGGAGACGCCAATTGACCTGGGTGACGGTCGCGGTGGCCGTCGCATCGAAACCTTGATTGGTCGTCAGAAGTGGAAGAAGTCCTTCCAGTATGAGGTCAAGTGGGTTGGCCTTCTCCCCAAGGACAACACCATGATCTCGCGTGAGACCCTGCTCGAGCGCGGTTTCTTCAAGCTGGTTCAGGAGTTCGACGATCACGAGGCTTCCCGTGAAGGTCTGGGCTTCCGTGTTCTTGACCCCAAGACCATCACCAAGCACTTCGAGGACATTGGTATGGACCCTGAGATCGCCAACCACAACGAGATCTCCGGTCTTTCCGGTGGTCAGAAGGTCAAGGTCGTACTTGCTGGTGCCATGTGGAACAACCCTCATCTGTTGGTCCTGGACGAGCCGACTAACTTCTTGGATCGTGACTCGCTCGGTGGTCTGGCTGTTGCCATCCGTGACTTCAAGGGTGGTGTTGTTATGATTTCTCACAACGAGGAGTTCGTGGGCGCTCTTTGCCCCGAGCAACTGCACATTGCCGACGGCCGTGTTGTCAGCCGTACCAACAACGCTGTCAGCCTCGACCGCTTCGAGGATAGCGCTACCAACTCGCCTTCCGGCCCTGGTACCCCTGCTACCGGCTCGGCTGTTACCAGTGCTGCCCCATCCGCCGTCAACTCTGGCGATGAAGGCGACCTCAAGTTCCGTGCCAAGAAGAAGAAGAAGATGACCCGTGCTCAGCAGAAGGAGCGTGAGATTCGCCGTCGTCTGCGCTACATCGAATGGGTGAGTTTCCCTTGTTCATATCTCTATTTTGCACAGTATGCTAACCCATTTTCTAGTTGAACTCCCCCAAGGGTACCGCCAAGCCCGCGGACTCCGACGACGAATAGACGTGCTTCCACGTGCTTCAACATTATGATTCGTAATCGCTGAGAGAATGATTCCGATTATATCCTCGCATCATGAGCACCATGATAATGTTTTGGTCTGCATTGGATCTGATAGACGGTGTTTGGGGCGTTCTGTTTCTCTTATCTTTCCGGCATAGATTTTTTTACGTGCCGTTTTAACCAGTATTGTACATGTTTCGGATAGATACCTCAGTGCATCTACCATGTGAAAGCAAAAGTTTATACGTTATTTGATTTTGTTTCACTTCACAAGCCCTACATGGCCCTGCTCAGTAGAATAGACGTTTAGTTATGTCTATTTTCTTCACCAATTTCGTGATAGAGAGATTTTGGAAATCCCGAATCCTGAATCTATGATGGTATCTACCTATAGACCTCCAACGCCATAGCCCGAGCCAAGTCTATGATTACAATAACAACAGTATTCCAAGTCCTGCAAAGGATCAAAACTCGACCACGAGCGGTAAATCCCTAGAACTACGCCCAGCCCAGATACGGAATTTACCTTCTATAGGTAGCACCCAGTTCTGCGCGCGAACACTCCAATAGCTGAGGTCCTTCCGAGTCAATGTCATCTTGACATTTCTAGTCTCACCTGGTTGCAGGAGGACTTTGGAAAAATTCCGCAGGACACGTTCGGGGAACTCAATTGATTCACGGGACCAACCCAGTCCACGGTGCTCAGCGACATCTTCTGGGAAGGAAACGTACACCTGGATCACATCTTGTCCCGTACGCATGCCGGTGTTTTTCACTTCGATGGTGAGCTCAACCATGGGCTCGTAGAGTGATGGATTTCCACCCGGGCAGCCCCCTGCGGCGGATGGGTTCTGGCGTTTGTTGTATCCTTCCGGGTATGGGTATGGGCCGGGTTCGGTGCCTTCCAAGGTGGCGAGGTAGGGATAGATGTATTTGCGGAGTGCACGGAAACCTGGAGGGAATAGACTGCTGGTGGGGTTGTTCTGTTTGCTGTCGTATGCGGGAGGTTCGACTTCGTTTTTGGGCCGTTTGGAAGGCCATTGAAACTTCTTCTGCAGCTTCTCAATGCTGAGTGCTGAGTAGTCGAAGGTTGTGTATGATAGACCGAAGCCAAACTCGAACCGGGGAGTAATGTTGAACTTGTCGAAATACCGGTAATCGATATACAGGCCCTGTTCAAGGTCGACCTGTGGGACGGATGGGTCTGGATGCTCATATAGGACTTGCGCCCCTGGGCCGTAGTCTTCTAGGCTTCGTCCGATGGTGTATGGCAGTCGTCCACTGGCGTCGACATCTCCAAATAGAACGTCTATCAATGCATTCCCGCTTTCTTGCCCGGGTAGATTGGCATACAGTACAGCGTGGACACCAGGAAGGTCAATCCAAGACTCCATCACAACGGGGCCAATGGAGTGTATAATGACGACTGTTTTGCCTTGGCCACCGCCGCAGTGCTTGGCTACACTCTCCACCAATTGAGTGCCGTTCTTTTGTAGAAACAGATCATTTCGATCTGCATCAATGCCATCACTGCGGATAAATCCTTCACCGCCATCTGCGTTCGCAAAAGCCAAACAGAGATCCTGCTCTGCGAGGTCCTCGGGTCCAACATTGTTCGTCAAGTAAGCTTTAACATCGACAGAGTCTTTCGACCACGCATACTGCAGTGCTTCCCATGGACTGATCAAGTATGGGAAGTCTACAGCTCCACTACCCCAACCAGAGGCCAAGGTTCCTTGGTTACATCCTCGGTCAACACAAGTGTTCGGTCCTTGGCCGGGACCAGCGTCTTCGCCGTATACACCAACCCGGTATTTGCCATTGGGTGCGGACTGTGCGCGCAAGAGTGGAAGGGTATTATTGATATTTTTCAGAAGTACGGTGCCTTCTGCAGCGATATGGCGAGCAACCACAGAATGAGCGTGCTCGCCTGTTCCCTGTGCGTCGACAAATTTGTTGACCACACCCGTTGCATCATTATCCGGTGAGCCTTCGTGCAGATGTCCAACTCGCTCTTTCGTCCAGGACGAGAAGTTCGGCCCGCCATCGCCCTCGGGTGCAGGGAGTTCCCATGAGTCCTGTCGGAAATGATACCAGGCGGCCACGATACGAGTGACCATATCGTTCAAGCGCTCCATGGGGACGGACGTGTTCAATGCTGCACGAGTCAGTTCACTTCCCCAGAGAGGGACTCCATCGGTCCAATGGAGGCCATCACCGGGCATGCTCATATCCAGGCCGCCAATAGCGCTGTGAACGCCTGACCGCTGGGCTAGCCAGTCTGACTGCACGAATCCTTGGAAGCCGAGCTCATCTTTCAAAATTCCATTAATGAGTTTACTATTCTCGCAAGCATAGCTGTTGTTGACCATTTGATAGGAGCACATGATGCTAGCCACGTCGGCACGTATGCTCTCGGCGAAGGGCCAGGCAAAGACCTCGTGCAATGCGCGATCATCAATATTTGACGAGAGTGCAGTTGGAGTACCCCATTCAAATGACTGACGGAAGTGTTCCTGTTCATTACCAATAAAGTGTTTCGCAGTGGCCATGACCCCGTTCCTCTGGATACCGCGAATGGTCTCTGCCGCAGCCACGCCTTGCAAAACTGGATCGGAACCAAATGCCTCCCAATTACGACCACCGGCAGGCATCATGCCGAGCGGTCCCATGGACGGACCGAGGATAATGTTCACGCCTTTCAGCCGCGCTTCTTTTCCTAGAGCAAAACCCCGCATTTGCATAAGCTCGCGGTTCCATGTCGCGCCCGTGGTTATCCCTGCGGGGAAGGCTGTAATGTTTTGCGCGAATCTAAGTCCAAGTGGGCCATCTTGTAGGCAAAGAGAAGGGAATTTGACGAGTTCGGCAGGTCCTAGACAACACAGTTCGCGTCAGTGTGTGCATAGCCATAGTACTGAAAGGATACCAAGGGCCTACCGGTATTTCCAACACAAAGTCCCATTTGCCAGCCTGTTCCAGTTGTGACGTTCACTTTTTCGGCAAGGGTCATTTCTCTAACCAGTTCTTGGGCCTTGACATAACTTTCTTCCCATTGTTCGCTCGTTCCGCCGAGGGGGGTAGGGTACCACGGGACCGCTTGCTGTGATTATTAGGGACCGATTTCTAGACATCCAAATGGCCAATTGAAAAGGAAGGAAGACCTACGTATTCACCAACGGCAGCTCCGGAAGAGGACCAGGGTAGTCCCCTGATCGAAAACCATACTACCAGTAGGGCGATTATTAACATGCCGGCAACGTTCCACCACGAATGCAGACGAAATAATGACCTCCAGTCAAAGCCCTTTTCTCCATCTTCACTCTTTTTGTCTTTCGACAGCAAGCCTTTGTCAGGTGGGATACCATAGTCGTCACTGTATCGATCACTGAGAACCAGAGAGTCTCTGCGCGAATGTCCTTCCTCCAAATCTGTAGCGAATGAATCCGACAGTGCGGTGCGATCCGCCTCGAGAAGCTCTTTTATGCGCTTTGAAACATCACGCTCGTCGTCGGGGACATCGATGGGAGTGGGTTGCCGGTCATTTGTTTTGGAGCTCGAGGGTTGTGGACCTCGAGCTCTACCTTGTTTCAAAGGTAAAAGTTTTATATTGGCCTGCTCGGAGAATTCATCTCCACTTGAAGGAGTGTCCAGGCCATCATTGTGTTCCCAACTGCTCTCTGACGTTGAGCGTTCGACTGTCGGGTTCTGCAGTGACGTATAGCCGCGACGCGTGGGAGGGTTGGAGGATTTGACCGAGCGCGACGCTCCGGCCTTGGCACGTGGGGAAGCCATTCAGTCTTCAATGCCCATGATTTTGCAGACTCTAAAAATGACCAAGCACAAGTTTGGTAATTGATTGTTGTCCTATCTCCAACGCGTCACGAAAATAGTGGGTCACCTGACATCATGTCACTGACATCACATTAAATACCCCTTTTTGTCAGGAACATCGTGGGATGTTTGTGAAATTATCATAATTATCATACAAGAATAGTCGGCCACAAATGTGGCCTCTGTCCTTGACTGCCTAAGATCTTGGTAATCTGATCTATTTGACTCGAAATGGTGTTAGGGATGTTATACGTAAGAACCCTCCGATGGATTTTTGGATGTTCCTTTTATGTCTTTTTTGATGTTTTCTTGGGTGTATACGAAGGCGGTAAAAAGGATAAACTACGCAATCGACTTTTATATATAGAACCTTAAACCTACACATAGTAGTATTAATTTTCCTACACCACAACGCTAATTGACCCTAAATCGGCTGCCGAAAATGGCTACTTTTGACACCGGTTTACGCTCCCTTTTACCAAGGTCTTAGTCATTTTAACATATCGTGCACATGGTATACTTTTGATCACTGAACACCTGGGCAGTGCTCGGTCCTTAGTGAGCACTCAGGGCTGCTTAATGATCGGCTCACCCTTCACTGAGGTCAGTATGCTCAGGGCAGAGCATGAGCGATAAATGTGTGTTCAATATCCTTCAGTCCGTTTGTAGCAGCTCTAGACAAAATAATAAGTCATCTGTCTTACGGAGCTATAAAGACCGATTCCCAATATTTAAATGGTCTCCCCCCCCCCTACCCATCAACACGTAGCCTTTCTATGGCCAGCCGTCAAACTCGGCAGCAATAGTCTTTTCTATCTTGTATGTTGTATCTCTCCAATCTTTCTTTTAGACACCCGCTATTATCGCCATACCGATCAGCTTCCTTTCCTTTTAATTTCCTAAAGCGTGTCACTATTCTCTACTCTCTGCTAGGCCTATTGCTACAGTGTAGAATTGCAGTTTTAAATGCAAGAGAACAGGAGGTCGACATCGTACATAGTAGGGATAGTGGAATTTCCACGTGACATCGACCAAAGAGAGCCGCTTTTATTGAGCGTTGTGCCTTGCAAGTACCACCTTCGATAGAGCAGAGTTTGCGCTCGGTTCAGGTCTGGATCGCAAAAATGGATAAAAACAATAATTAACAATAACTCCACGTGATTTCTGTTAAATTTCTTTGTCCCGACATCCATGTCTCACCTATGTTGTATGCAGAGCTTGCCCTGAATGTAACATTAATATAAATCATAGTAGGTTTTGGCCGGAAAGTGTTTAGCTATAAACTATAGTTCCTTTTAGTTCAAGGTCGGTCCACGGGTGGAGTGAAAATAACCTGGAACCTACCCAGGGGATAAAATATCCGTGGACTATTGGAGTTACAGTACATATGTATATAAAACGTTGAATACGTGGTTGAATACAGGGTAATTTACGCAGAAAATCGTGGGACTCCCACACAAAAGTGCATATTATGGTTACTACTAGTATGCCTGTCTTTGGAATTCCTGTTCCTGTCATTTTAGCTAGAGATTTACACATATCTGAAAATACCATACATTTGTCGTACTGCCAGATTTCGGTCATAAAACCAAAAAACAGTCTTTGCGGGGGCACGTGAGGCATCCTATGGCAACCAACCAATTAGAGTTGTTTTCCCCGCAGATCCTCTATCCCCAAAGTGGACATCTCCGGCTTCCAAGGTTCTGGACCCCGGGCAGTCAGATCCAACGGATATAACCGAATATGCAAGATGGGGGCCGTCCGAACAACTCCCCCACGTCTCGGCCAAGGAGGAAGAGACGCCCCTGCAGACGGATACATCCGGCCTAGCAAGGCCAGCAGCTGGCTCAGACCCCGATCTTGCCGATCGAGGTGCTAGTACCCCCAGCTTCCACTGTTCACAAGTCCCGCCCTCCATTGGCTCGGACGGCGAAGGCTGCACTCATCGGCAATCACCACCTCGGCCAACGACCCGAAAGCGGGACCCCCTTCCAAATGAAGAAATTTACGACGGGATGGCAGATGAAAATATAGAACGCAACTGGTCCGTGGACACGGCCGACTTACACTTCAACGGCAAGGCAGACGAGCTGCCTAAGGTGCTTATGCATATCCGTCTAGAGTCAGCCCTGGATTCCGACCTACAAGACAGCGCCGTCAGGTGCGCGTACCTTGCCTCCACTTTCCGGGGCAAGTCCCTTGACTGGTTCACGTGCTCAGTCCTACACGGGGGCTAAAAACGGAGCGCTGTGATCGCCTGGTTGCTGCCTATCCCGCCGACTACTCGGCACTGAAACGAGAAGCTGCACGAATAGAAGCCCCGACAACGGTGGCCCCATATGGGGCCGGGTTCTTCCTCTAGTCGGAAAAGGAGGGGTAAGAAGGCTGGAAAACAAACTTACGGTAAATGCGGAAGAACAAATCAAATCACGGAAAAGTGTTTCGCCAACGCAGTCGTCAACGCCAGGGTGGTGGCGTCTCTACTCTAGAATGGTTACTTGGTCAATAGGGATGGGGCTCCGTCCCTTAACGAAGGCATATAGCAGGATTGCCATCAGAGAACGCCGGTTCAGCTGCACAAGGGTCAATGAATAGATCTTCTAGAAGTGTTGCTTCTCAAGGACAGGACTGAGTGGCACTGCATGCCCCGGGGCTAATATTTGACGGTCTTATCCAGATGTTAAAAATGGAGAACAGCACTGATACCAGTGGCGGTACTCCGTACTTCCCAACAATAAACAAACATGCAAGTTATTCCGCTTTGTTTTTCTGTCCATTTTATGTATTTCATCAAGGGCAGGTACTTGTAACTCACACTATGACCAAATAAAACAGCTGCAGAGCTAAATCTTCCCAATGACAGTATGAGGCATATACCTCGCTTGCCCCGGTACTTCCAGGGCCACCACCGGCAAAAAGAACTCAAGGAATCAATGTGCATTCTATCCTGCGGCGTAACACCCCACAAAGGCGCTGCCTTTGAGGTGGTGCTTCATACTCCATACTAGCGCCAAGAACAAAAAAACTGAGACCGAAGAAGCGGGCTATTACCATTCGGACAGTTTTGGGTATTGTAGGCCAAGAGGGCTAAGCAGAGCTAAGCAAGCCCCAGTACAACATAGGGGCCAAAAGCCAAGCTTGGTGGGGTTGGAAAGTCTCGCGGTTTGCCAAGTGCTCCGAGCGGCATGTGTATACCGTTTTTGGCCTAATTCAACAACGTTGTATGCCGTCACGTATATTCACTACGTTAGGGGGCTTCGTTTTTGTTCCCTCAACGAAAAATTTGAAATATTTAAAGGGCAGTTATCCCTCCCTTTCAACATTTTATCATCACCAAGTCGCATTCTACCAAGAATATCTTATACAATCCCTATATCCCAACTCTACCACTCAACAACACCCCGCCATCCACAATGAAGTTTTCTCTCACTTCTCTTTGCGCCTTGACAAGCGTGCTGTCTCTCGGCACTGCGTCTGCGCAACCTCTTGAAAAAAGAAACAGCGTTACCCTCACAGCCTATTACGACAATCAAATTGTTGTAGGTGGTGGAGGTCCTGGACAGGTAAGCCAAGTCTCATATAATGACTAGTGAAAGGTCTAATTCTCTTGTAGGCCCCTTCCAGCCAGACGCGGACCTGGTTCGGCATCAGCGTTGATGGTGAAAAGGAAAGGTCGATCAAGGCAAATAGTATCTCCATGCAATGGCAGGTCATCCCATCTTCCAAGACCAAAACGCCTATGGATATAAGCTACAAGGCGAATTTCATGGTTGGCAGCTTCAAGGGTTGCACCGCCAGCTACAATGGGAAGGAGACTCGTGGCACTCCCCAAAAGGGAGATGGTCACAATCTCGGGCAGACCTCTGCTAAATGCGTTATGAAATTCAACCTCTAACGCAGATTATGCCCTGGGAAGTGTTGATATCTGTCACTAGATCACATTACTCCCCATATGCATGGATAGTTTATTCTCTTCCTTCCTGTCTCATAGTTAACCCATACAATATCATCGTATTGTACTGTCTGATACTCTTGCCTACCCTGTATATTCTAACAGGATATGAGCCCGGGGACTCGCTATTGATCTGATATCACAATCGGTCAATATCCTCGGATCTGTACGTAAAATACGACCCAGCAAAACTCTCGAGACCCGCGGTCTGGCAAGGGACAATCCACACCTCCACTAAGACTGGAGAATCACCTATTCAGGAAGTGTGAATAGCTTCAGGTTTGCAGGTCGTTGCTGTCGTTGAACCTGCCAGGGTGATAGAATATCCACGCAGAAATTTCTGCCAAAGGGCAAGGCTTTCACCTTAGGACCAACACGCTTCGCCAGGACCAACTTGAGCAGGCTCATATTCAGCTTGGAACATACAACTATCAGGTGGTATTTGCTTGCTTGCTAGCAACCCCGCTAACAGAGTTTTCCCGCAACAAGTCTCTCTTATCTGCACATCCTATAGATCTTGCATCTCCGCATCACTCTTATTGATCTCTTTGATCATCTCTCTCGTCAATTCTTATTCCTTCATAGGAAAGGGAAGTTTCGGCACTGATATCTGCAAGATCTGAGTTTCCTTGCACGAAGAGTGACCCGCAGGCTCAGAGAAAAGCTACATATGTAGATAAGTGTGGATAATTATATGGCCCGAAAAGCTCAAGAAAAAGGTAAATTCTCAAGATGACAAGGAAAGTTGCAAGCCCAAGGTTAATCGGTTTCAACCATGCTATGGATCCTGGGGCCGGATATGATCCTAGGGACGTGAGTCTCACCAACGAGATAATAGATAATAAGCGTGATCTAAAAGGCGGACAATAATTGTGGGCAGCAAAAAGATGAGGTGATAAACTGGGCAAAGAATATAATGCAAAGACACTGCTTGGAGTGAGGCATGATATTGATAACGATAAAATTCAATGATTAATTGGTGTTGACGAAACATGCATCTTCAACAACGCTTTCCACACTATCAGTAGAATAAACAAGAATAGACACATATAGTGACACAAGACCTAAAGTGTCAACGGGCAAGGAAATATTTGTGGTTGGTGATTGGACAGTTGGTTATCCCAAAAGTCCGACTACAAAACGGCTGAAAAGCGTGATAAACCGATTAAATTGTTCACTATCTTTAAAAATATAATGAAAGAAGTAGACGGAGGTTTTAGTCGTGCAGCAAAATTAACTCGAAAAGAAATCCCCAGGTCCACATATTACGAAGTACATAGAGGTGAGATAAGTATATATCGGAAGATGGCGGCAGTGCTAGTAAGTTCCGAGGGAAGATGGCTATATTAATCCTATATCACATTGAACTATACATAGAAGTGCTCGATAGAATACTACCGCATCATATATCTTGTTGTAGAAGAATAATTAAAGTTGATGGCGTCAAACCAACTGCTACAACTATATAATTAGCCCGCAACCCAATTTTTAGGTGCATATTCCTAATTTGGGTACCGCTCATGCCTTGACCCTGTACTCCACTCACCGCCTTCCTATCACATATCACATACAATATAGCAAGACAGCAGGTACCTACGCTTTGTATACAAACCACTAATAAAACCAAGTCACTTGTGTTACATCTCGCTCTATCGTTAAGTCTAACTCCACCATCAACTCCATCGTCAATCCACCGTCAACTCTATCTTCGATTCTATCATAAACTACACTATCAGAGCAAGGAACCACCGCCGTATAAGCAATTCTTTATGATCAAAATGCAGGTTTTTTTTACTATGTAGACTGAAGTGGGCAGAATATATGGCATAAATATATGAAGTGGCATAACACATGGCATAATTCTAATTAGGAAAGCGGTACTGAAACTTCAGGCAAAAAGCCGGGGGGGGGGGGAAGGGGGGCGAGCATCCTAAGGGGGGTCGGGTCGTCTATATTAATACCCATAGTTTATATCATCTATATTAAGTCAAGAGGTTCGAGAACTTCCAAATTGAAATTGCAATATAACAGCTCACAATGTGCACCCAACAGATCACGCCAATCGACGGCACAAAATAATGATGTCAAGCACGATGTGCCCTGAGACAATGTGGATATCGTGGATCCCCATTTGGCGCAGCTAAGAGGTTGACTATCTTCTCTTGGTATTCCTTAGGGGCAAAATCTGTCGGAGTTCCGATAAGTCCTGACGATCTTTAATCACTTTTCAACTTTCATAACTTCTCTGAAACAGCTTCTTCGGGCTGTGCTATTAGGATCTTCAGAGTCCTACCGTGTGTGTTTTGGATCAATTGGGGTGCCATCTGCTAATTTATCTGCTTTTACATCAATTGACATAGTGAAGACGAATACAATGGCATAAACAACCGAAACAGGCAAATTGTGTGTGATCCTTCAAGTCCGATCTTCAGTGGATTCTGCAACCAAGTTAGACCCTGCCATGTTTCTGAATGCGAAATCCTCAACGGACCAAGTGGACAGTGGGTAGAAACATTCTATTCCGTTATATGTGACTTGTTTGTTGTCGCTGCTACCCAACTCGGCTTTCTTCCCATTTTGGGTCTCCCTGCTCGCTATACTCCCATCTCCGGAATGGGTTTACAATGTAGATAACACTTTTCGCACTTTCTTGATTCTTCAATTATTCGGTTCCACTGGACTTCAACGTCGATCATAACATTTCTCAGACATATCCACTAACTATGGAGTCGCCCAAGCACGTCCCCTCTCTGTGCCCATTTTATATATGACCCTGATAGATCCCCTCGAATCTTTTTTTCCCCATACATAAATCTCTCATCCTCAATATCAGTTACTCCCTCTCTCTCTCAAAATGAAGTTCTCCGCCCTTCTCGCCCTCGCCCCTCTTGTGGCTGCCATCCCCGGCTCCAAGCAGGCCAAGGAATCCGATGCTGCCTTCAGCGTCATCTCTGCTCACTCGGCTTCTCCCGTCCACCTGCTGCCTCTCAATGCCGGCGGCACCTACTTCTGGCTCGGTGGTAACGCCCACACCTATTCTCCCGTCCCCGGCGTTCCCGACACCAACCAAACCGTGATCGCCAATAGTCACTTCTTGGTTAGTTACCCATACATGTGTCATTTCAATGTTCCAGTTTACTAACTTTATATCCAGGACGTCGAGGTCCCCGGTGGCCAGGCCATCTACGTTGATAACAAGGGTGCTCTGCGCTTCACCTCTCCCCACTCCGCCTATGAGCCCGCTGGCTCCTCCGATGGTCCCTTCGCCTACACTCCCGGCAGCTCTTTCGGCCACTGGAGCTTCAAGGGCCAGGGTGCGTCTGGCTTCATGGCTTGCCCGACTACCAACGGTACCACTGGCTACCGCCGTTCCCGTCGGGGCGCTGCTGCCGCCCCTAAGTGGCAGGTCTATGCTGCCCTGAAGAACGCTACTGTCCCCTCTGGCAATGTCGGTGACTGCCTCGGCTTTGATGCTCTGGCTGTTGCCGTCAACACTACTACCCCTGTTGCTTGGGAGTACCTCTAAAGTGTTTAAACCTGTAGCTTGGCATTTGGATTGTACAGTATGATTGTTAACTGTGGTTCTGCGGAGGACGTGGGAGATCCACTTGAATACTTCTATCGTTGATCTTGTATTCTTTTGGCTATTTCATCTGAATCACCACGGTTATCCCCAATTTTACTAATTTTGGCTGTATTGAGTAAAATGGCGTGGTTCCAACCGACTTTCCTTAAGAGACACCACGGACATCCTCAATTTTACTGTTAAGACAACCTACATGAGAACTCTAGAGTGAAAATAAACAAATCCTATGACCAAGATGCTAAGGAATAGAGGGACAGCTGGACTGCGTTTTATTGATGTCGTAAACGCTGTTAGAAAAAAGGAAGGTTCCGACTGCCAAGTTTATGAGACTTCGAGGATATAAACCTAAGCCGGCAGAAAATAGAAGAAATGATTTGTGAATATCCGCTTGTTGGAAGAAACATTGAATGTCATCAATAAATGCCCCATTGCACATCTTGTAGATCCCAATTGTATATCGCATCATTGAAAAATTGCGAATCAAGTTCCAAAAACATGTCTTCCGACGACAAGTCGTAATTAGTATAGTCCTTACGTGTGCCGGGTTATCTATTTACCACGTATAGGGGGAAAGGGCCTCGGCCTCGGAGGTAGTGGTTATATCGAATATTATAGATATCACCGGTTATAAAGATTTAGGCTAGGGAAGGCGGAGCGCGACTCTTACCTAGGGTCCGGGGGCGGTCTTAGTAGGGCTATAGGCCAATAGGGGGATCAGGGTTTGGTTACTACTAGAAATTTTAGCCTAGTTCTGATAATAGTATTAAAGGGTAAAGTATCTCACTCTGGCATTGCAGCGACCTTGACTAGTTCAGATGGTAGGAGAGGGATGGTGAGAAAGGAAGAGAAGGAGAAAGGGACAAAGAGCTTGGAAGAAAGGTCTGCAGCACTGCCATGGTTCTTATTTTCTGGATTGGACCACTTTGTCACCAGATCTTGAAGCAGGGAGTACAGCGAGGGTTGCACAAATTCATCAAGTCGACGAAGGAGGATTTGGTTGGCGGCTCTTTCCAGAATGAAGTGTTTCATCCGATCCAAGTGTTGCAAAGATCCATACGCCTCATCTTAACCAGATTCCTCGGCCACAGAATCTTGGTCACCTTCCTCATCGAGGTTGGAATTTGTGCTATTACTAACAAAAGACTAATAATCCATCTAAATGGTACACTAGAAGGGTAATCGAAATAAAATAAATTTTATACAACTATGCTAACTGCAGATGGTAAATCAGGTAATGCAAATGGTAGATCAGGTCATATTCAAGTCAAGACCAGGCAAAAAAAACAAAGGGTATTCATCATCATAAAAATCACAGCCCCACTCAAAGCTTAGCAGCACTACCAGCAGAGGAGATCTCATTATACAGCAAGCTGGTCAAGAAATCAGCGTAAGCCTCACCAGTAACCTGGCCAGCAAAGTACCGAGCAGCAAGCTGGTACTTATTGCCCTTGCCACCCTTGGCCGCCAGGCTATCAGCCTGCTCCTGCAGCA